CAAACAAACATATTTTATCACGATTTGATTCATTTTATTTCCAATATTTAATGTTTTAATTTGTTTGAATTTGATTATTTCTCTTGTCGCTTGCGCAACTATCTAAGAATGCCGCGCACCACTCACATTTTCGAAATCGGTTAAAAACGTTTTCTAAAAAAATAAAATATAACAAAATTAATTTAAAAATATTATAAAATATGTACTATATACAAATGTGGCGAAAGATAATCGATGACTACAGGTTGTAATATCTGAATGATTTGTTTGAAATTAAATTGATTTTTTTAAGGTCTAGGTCGTATTTTGCAATTTTCTCAATTTGTATGGGCGCTACAATTTTCTCCTTATAGACGCAACATATAGAAGTAAGATTATTAGCGATCAAAAGCGCTTTTTTATCGCATTAAGCCTATACCCACTTTCATTTTTCGCGAACACTCCCTTTAAAGTTTATATTTTCAAAATATTGTACAAGGAACATTATTTCATCAATACCTGGTTAGGTAGTTTACTACAAATTGATATTTAATGAGTGTAGGGGAAGTGGTGTAATTGATAGGACAAGACACCTCCAGATGATGGTTTAAAATTCATTAATTTATAATAATAGTGGGACTGGGAGTTCATAGGGGCGTCATATAAGGGGTTTATGTGGGCCGTGGGGGGATACTGTGATTCAATACTTGGACTAGTGTGGAAGAATTAAAAGAATAAAATTAGAATCAAATCAAATGAAGCTGTAACTTGAAATGGCAATAATAGAATATCTGAATATCTTTTTTCAAACGAACTGAACTGAACAATAGCCACAAACTTTAACTTTTATTAATTTTCATTCATAAATTTTTATGGATTCAGCCTGCTTTGAAATGTTGCAGCAATTTTTAAGACAGGGTCGATTTTAAAGTGTCGCAAAGCGTTGGGCTTTGATTTTACCGCTCTAACTCACTTAAAGAACTTGTTTTTAGCTATTGTCTTTAATAAGTAATTGGCAAAATACTCAGTAATTGGCAAAATACTCAGAAATTGGCAAAATACTCAGTAATTAGCAAAATACTCTGTAATTGGCAAAATACTCAGTAATTGGCAAAATACTCAGTAATTGGCAAAATACTCATAAATTTTTGAGTATAAATCTGTGATATTTCAAACTTTAACAATTTTATCCATCAAATTTCAGTGTTTGACATATAAAAGGTCTACAATATCAGGCCGTTTGCAAGGATTATAAATTATAGTTTGTAGCGAGTGATAAGTTACTTCGTATAACCCAGTACAGTATGTATCCTAAACGTAAGCAGTTTTAAATTTACTTTTATCGTTTCGGGACTTTATTTATCTGGAACAAATGCTTAGTGTACACAAGTAAATAATCTGTTCTCCCTGTATCTCCTCTATACTGGAGATAATCTCTCCTGGGTTCCATCCCGGAGTTAATCTCTGAGTAAACTATCTATATACACTGTAACAGCAGGACAAGGGATCTCAGAGACAGATTGTTTCTTCTGAGAATTTAATCCAGGGACCACGGAAGAATATTCAATTTTTAAAAAATACTTTTTTCCCTAATTTATGCTTAATTTCTACTCTTCTTTGTGTTTTTTTATTTCCCCCTTTTTGGACTCAGCCAAAAAAAATTAAATCTCTAAAAATTGTGGTTGATCTATTTTCTAATTTATCCTAAATCCCCTTGTATCTGCTGTCCTTTATCTACAGATTATGCTAGGGGGAGGGAATATGAACTAGCATGTAGCATGTAGCACATACATCAATTTAAGAAGACTGTTGTAACTTGTATGTTATGGTAAAGTTGATATTATTTTATTTTATTTATTATTTTTGTTCTTTAACTTAATAGTTTAATAGTTGCATTAAAAATCGTACAAAAGAATACTCTTCGTTAATGAGAATAGATGTGGTTTATCAATGATATTCTGTGTATCTCTCAAATATTCACATGATTTTTAAAGACACCAGTTCCTTTTTTATGAGTAAATAGAATCTAAGAATGCACGTTGAATCTCTTCTCTTAATGTCGTGCCTAATAATGTCGATTTTCTGAAAATTTTAACGTAGAGGAACATTGCTCACGAAGAGGGATCTGTGGTTTTGGTTTAGCAGACATTTTTTGCCAAAAAATAGTTTACAGTGTACAAGAAGTTAGGGGTTTGGGGTCCCAAAATGTTTTACTTTAGGAAAAAGCCAAACAATTTCAATTTTTTTTATAGGGTCCTTGAGAGTTAAAATTTAGATTATAGCAGAACTGTATCTATTGATTACATAACACATAATACACTACTAATGTAAACAAAGTTTAACAAACATAACAATGTCATATACTCATCTTCTCACCTAGATTCAAATCAAACAAACAGAGGATAAAACTGTTTGAATTATCAACTGAAATATATTATGTAAACAAGGTACTGCAAACATTTACTGCAGGTGTATCAGCCTGATAATAATCATGAATAATAAACTAATATATGTTCATGTATCATAAATAGAAGAAATAACCACAGTTTTGATTTTAAAGTTGGGAATTCAATACAATATTCAATATTTTGACTTTTTACACACTCCATTCAGGGGTAGACACTCCATTCAGGGGCCCATAAAATTCAATCCAATGCAATTCATTTTGTTGTAAACAAATGAAAGTACGATTCAAGAAAAAATTCCATAAAATTAGAGAACTTTAGCGAGGTGCTTGATTTTAACATGTTAAGAAGTTAAGGATTTGAGTAATTATTGACTTCTTCCTTCAACTGAAGGGTTTCTCGTAAACACAAATCATATTCAAAATTTAAATTATTCAAATCTGAAATCTCTACTAAAAAAAACATTTGAAACAAGTAGATTTTACAATTGATCTTTTGGATAAACTGTTTACTTGAAATTTTGCATTTTTAAACTATTCCTGGAAACAGTGTGCGAAAAAATGTACTTTTTGCAAACAAAAGATAACAATTTGATGAGCATCATCTGTCTGATAATTCGCTTTATCTAATATTCGCAAACAATATTTAGCAAATATTTGCTCAGTTTTTATTCTTATTTCGCGCCTTGAGAGACAAGACAGCTGCAGATAATAAAAGGAAAATCGCATAAAATTAAAATTAATATTATATTAATTTAAAAATAAAATAAAATAAATCATATAAAACTATTGCCAAGGAGTATTTATTTTAATGATGATTCGACTGATAAAAATTTACAAACTAATTTGTTAATCCCCATATTATTGCAACCTGATGGCATTTGATAAATCAAGTTAAGATTATTTGATCCAACAGAATTCATAGTTTGAAGTATTTAAAACTTATATTTTGAAATTGGCAAAGGCTCACAGCCTTTGATGTAGATTAAGAGGTTTCGTGAGTTTTGACGAAATTTAATAAAATGTCTTCTAGTTTGACTTCACAGGTACAACTAGATTACTCTAGATATTCAAGATAATTATAAAAAAACTAAAATATCTTACTTTTACTTCAAATATGTTTTTTTTCAAATCTAGGTAAGAAGTGTTGAGTGTTGAATCTAATACTATCTCGAATACTTTTAATTTTCAGTTCTATTTGACATCCAAAATATTAAATTAATTGATAAGTAGGCAGTCAGGCAGTCAGGCGGGCATGCAGGCATGCAGTAGCATTGGCCTTGCCATGTAAAATATGTGCTGAGGGGAGAAAATCAACACCAAGAACTAAAGCAGGACTCATATTGGTCGACAATTTTGAAATCCTTCATTTTCATTGGACGAGGACAAGAATCCTCGAAATCTGATTTGTTGAACAAGATTGAACGTGAAACCGGATTGGTGAAATCCTGAATTGTCGACCAATAAACTTAAAATGCTTTTTATGTGAAAGCATGATCATCAAGGAGTGTAATGTGTGAAGAGAAGTGTCTATTCATTAATAATCTTATTTTTCTTCACTTTTGCAGGATGGAGACGACAGGACTTGAATTTTGTTTGCACTGAGTGCATTTAAATAGTTTTTGTTCCTCGGACTCTAAAATAAGGATTTTTGAAATGTTGGGGGGCCGGGAGGGGGGAGGGCATCGATGCTAATTTGCTTAGTTTTTATGAATTTTGCAGTATATACACTTTTCAAGGTTACCAAAAATGATGAAACTTTAGATAAAACAGTAAGAAGCACGCATTGCCATTTACTGTTTAGCACCGATTTCAGGGATCATATCTAATTGCACGATAAGATAGATAGATAGATGATACCGCCGCGCCGTTCCAATTTCTATTTGTTCTGAATCGTCACCAAGCACGTGACTGAACCCTGATTGGATCGATCATATGCTACCGGAAAGATGAAACAATTGGGTGTAAAATCTATTTAGAAATCCTTTTGTGAACATTTGTTGACCTAAAAACTGAAATTAGAGGATCTTATAAGTAAACTAAAGGTTGAATGGTATAAGTTAAGATTTTGGTTTCTTTTTCTTCATGCTAAATGATATGATAATCAATGTAACCCGGAATACATATCGTGTTTGCTCATATTTAGCTGTAAATGCAGCGAGAATTTTGCAGTTTAAGTGGTATATAAATGGGCGATGTACCCACGCAGTCGGCAGTACCTGTACGCATATTTTCAGACGCAAAATTCACATTTGCATTGAAAGGAATAATGCAATTCTGTATTGTGAAGAATACAGATTACTCCCCCCCCCCCACACGTGCAAATAATCTTGTCTTATTGATATTTGTAACCCTAATCGTAAAAGTATAATTCTAGAGTTAATAATCAGCATTCACTAAATATTCCTAGTCCTAGTATTTGCAAAATTTTGTCTGTTTTTTTGTGCATTCACTATAACAGGAGATATGAAGAATTTTTGTACAGATTTCTGGATATAACTACGCTGTTTTTTGGTTATATAACTGATGCTTCAGCCTCACAATTAAATTTTCACAAGGATTTTCTTTAATATCGATAAACACGAAAACATTAACTTACACAGGTAGAATAAAACGGTTCAAAATGCTCAAAATGTATTTTCCTTAAAACTAGTTGTTAGTAGACACCATAAACACCAGTTTATAAATCTGCATAATATAAATGAATCCTCGAGATGGGAGTCGTGATATTAGGGTTCCCGATCTGAACTCAATTCGAAATGTCGTCTTCCAAGTTCTTAAAAAATGTCGTCCTCCGGTCTAATTTTTTCCTCGCATCGGCTTTCTTATGTGAGCCAATATCAGTTTGTATCTAATAAGATATTAATTAACAATCTATTAATCTTCTCTATATACAGTGGGACACATAAAATTATGGAACATGACATTTCATCAATCCTATCTTAAGTGTATTGAGAGCGAGGGAAGGCACACCACGCCATTTTTTTGTCCGCACCACAAATGACGTCACTCACCATTATTTCTCCCGAACACACCTTTTTTCGTCCGAACGTTGATTTTGTGCTTTTAAATATATTTTTGTATGTCTTAAAACACTTTTTTTCAATTTTAGGCAACGTCATGTTTCATATGAACAAATGAAAAAAATGGTGTGCTGTGCCCTCCGTCCCTCGTATTAATAGTAATGTTATAGCATGTACATAAATATATATAAGCATATAGTTTTATCATGCAATACATGAAAATCAACTTTTTAGAATTAAATGTGCCTTTGTACAACGCACAAATACAATTGCTGTGTTTCCTGTTTCCACAGTTTTATGGATCCCAACTCAATGGTATTATTATTATCATTAACGTTATTATTATTATTAACATTACCATTAAATTTTTTTATAATCATTATCATGATAATTTTACCTCGCCTCTGCTCTTCCTTGACAGATTGGAGTTCCAATAGACTCCAAGGTTCTCATACAATCCTTCAGGAACTCTGCCTGCTCCCCCTGAGCAGAATTTATTTCATGAATTCATAAAAACAAACGATTTTACAACATCTATAACAAGACCTGTAAACTGACTGGCCAAGGATTTATAGCCCATGTAATACATTAGAGGTATGATCTTTGCAACCATTTTCTCGCAAACCTTTACATTCACTATTAAACATTTACAGTGGTCTACAATTAAGAGGATAGAAGGAGAAACCAAATTGTTAGCGTTCTTGGGATTACTCTTTGGTCTTTCAATATCAAATATACCTGTGGAATTCTCTTCAAGAACGGATTTACAGCTCTAATAGAAGAAACCAGTTGATTCTCATCTGCGAAGGTAAAACTCCTTTTCTCAACCTTAATTATAATTTATTTATTATTATTATTGTTTACGTATAAACTTTTATTTCTTATTTTTTCTGTATATATATATTAAAGTATGTTTTATAAAAAGACGAGAATTTCCCTAGATGTAGGTACAGATATGATATAATAAGCCGAAAGTTTTTGTTATCACTTAATTGTCAGGTTTTTATTTGAACTTCATTGGAGTTAATTTCTACTTGTGATTGAAATGTCGTCCTAACACTGCAACAACAAAGAAAGTTGTAGAAAGTTGTAAAGTTATGATGATGAAATGTTTGGTTAAAAAATTGAAACTCAAAATAAAAACCCTATAGCAGTAATGAATGATAAAAGCCCCATACCTGGCAAGTTTGAATCTGAAATCCTGATTTTTTAAGAACTTTTCTAAATATTTCCTCAGGGTTGGTTACATCTTGGTAGACTGGCATAAAGTCACCAACATCCTAAAATGATTTGACAAATATTTAGCATTTAAAATAATAATTGATGAAAACTAATTGGTGAAGCTTTTTACATAGGCTTTACTTTGATCATGATCATATTCAATTGAAATATTTAAAATCACAAGAATGATTATTCTTTATCATAAAATGATGCTAAAATTAAGTGACGGCGTTGCTCGTAGAATTTCAAAATTTCTAAAAAGATTTGGTCCAGCCGTTTGGCCAGCTTAGAAAGCGTTGAAAGATTTCATCGCTGAAAAAAAACCTTGGATCGGAGCTTGTTTTACTTAAAATTAAACCATGCATATAAAGAGCAGGGTGATTTATCTTATCTGATTATTTTGTGGAAAATTTATTCACTTTTTTTTACTTTTAATTGAATGTTTTATCCCCTAAAACGATTGTCTGTTGATTAAACAATTAGAACAATATATTTTAAAATTAAAAATGTACAAAACCTATCCGTCTTTTGACTCGCCAATAAAAAAAATGTAAACCTGCATATACTTGGACCATCTGATATTCTTGCCAAGGATTTCATACATTCTAAAAATATGTCAAAGTGTCAATTGGATTTTTGATTAAAGTTTTCGAATGTGATATATGTATGATATATATATATATTAATTTAATATTTTCCATTCGTATGTTTCATGTTTTAACCAGGGGGGCTGGATCTTAGCTACCTGCTTGCTTGCACAGCCTAAGTGTATACATAAGTGTTAAAATTAATTCGAAATATAAGGAAGACGATTTTTCCGACTCAAATGCCTCCCATGAAGTACCATCAAATATCCATTCATAATTCCTTTGTTAATTTCTAAATCAACCAATTTTAACTCCGCCTTAAATGCAAATATTTCAAAACACTTTCGTTTTAAATAAATGTTAGAAATATCCATTTTAGATCTCTTTATTTTATTATAGTGACTTTTCAAGTCAACAATAAGACAGTTTACTGATCAAGGATATTAAGAGATTATGGCCTATATCATACAGTATACACATCAAATATGCAGTGCGCTTTCGCAGTACAAGTGTATGTAGAGGTTTTGTATCTTGAATTTTACTCATTTTTCTCAGAACCGCTTATTAACGATGAAATATTGCTCTGTAAAAGACTGTAATAAAACGTCTTCCTGTGAAAATGGAATCCTGCACACAATAAAGCTGTAATGGATTGTAATAGTAAAATGGAAAACAAATTCTCCTAAATAAATTATTTCAGAAATCAGTTCTGTAATATAAAGATTGACCTTTGGAATTGGAGTTCATGGATTGCATTAGTAAAGGATTAGCGTATATCATCACTCTATATACTATAACCTCGTTGCTTTAAACTGGAAGACGAAAAAATATAAAATCTCGGATTTTTTTAGGAAAATGTTAAATGTACAATTTTTCTGTAAAACCTAAAGAGTATTATAGTGCCTCTGTTAAATTTTAGCCGCCATAATTATGCAATACTAGCTGATTTACCCGGCGTGAATCTATGTAAGAAAGTCCCGGGGAAAAAAGTTTCTGGAAAAAAAACCTGGAAATAAAAACTTTGGAAAAAAAGTCCAAATTTTATCAAGTCCTTGGAAAAAATGTCACTGGAAATAAAGTCCTGTGTTTTGGATTCCTGGGACTTTTTTTCTAAAATAGTATGGGGGCTGCCAATAAAGTCCCAGGAAATAAGATCCCAGGAAAAAAAGTCCTGAAGAAAATAAATCCGAGGAAAAGAAAAACCTAGAATTGTGAATCATGCATTTTCACTTGTTAGAGGACTTTTTTTCTGAGGACTTTTTTGTATAAAATCATACTGGATCCACAAAAAAAGTCCTAGAAAATAAAGTCTCGAATTGGATTTCCGGAGACTTTTTAATAAAGGACTTTTTTCCACAGGACTTTTTTAGTGTGAAATTTTTGGACTTTTTTTCCGGAAACTTTTTTCCAAGGACTTTTTTGGCGGTTACCACCCGGCGATCCCTTCCCAGGTTACACATAGTTAGTTACTCCCGCCGTTTACCCGCGCTTGGCCTTAAATCAAGATTTTAGCAGTGCCCGGGGTTGCCCGAGGAACTTTAAAAAATTGTATCATTTTTTAGCCCTTTGTTCTCCCTGGGGTTCTGATGGGCTCCCTAAAAAAATCAGCCGATTTGGTTTAGCCGTTTGGAAAGCTATAGCTAACATATAAATGAGCAAAGAACTTTATTTTATGAATTTCAACATTTTCCAATTAAAAAAATGACATACATTATTGAGGAGCACTGAGATCACTGAGTTTAAAAAGCTGTGATTTTCGATCCCAATTTGATCGCTTTTTATTTTAATACTTTTTTTTTGTCAATGGATGCGTTTTAAATGAAAAAGTATGGAACAAAAACAAAAGTTTAAAGATTGTTGAATAAAATTGAACAAAACGCGACTGAATTCAAACAGAACGCATCGTGCCCAGGTTAGTCTGGGACCGGGGTGAGATAATATCTTTATTCAGGAGGAAAATTATTGTGTAAAATATTAACATATTAAATAAGATAAAATTACTGCATAATGCAGATTTAAAAAGAAAGCAACCAGAAGTGCGCCTTTTATGATCTTAAAAAATACAAGCCACGAATCCTGCATAGTGCATTCATCCCATACCTTCTTTTACATGCATATGATTCCTGAAACTGCATAAAGTTTTTTTTTGCCTGATCATTAATTAAACCAAAGAAGATTATATTCAAGGTAGGATACTTAATTTAACCTCATAATCGTCAATTTACAGTCTCATTCTTTGTAGGAAACCCTGTTTTATCTTTACATAGATGATTTAACTACCTGGTTGGAGATTAAAAGACCTTTACTCTACCTGAATATTGGATTAGAAGCTAGGAACAGAAGCATAGCTTCTCCTCCATCTACTAATAGTTCATAAACATTTAACATCATTTTCTCCAAATCAGAAACCTGAAATTATAGTTAATGGGTATGATAAGGTGATAATACGAAGTGGTAAAAATGGCTTGGCATTGCAATACAAATTTATATGAGGGTTGAAGGGGGGGACATGAAAACAGATCTTAACAAAAGGAACTTTGAGAGGGAGCAATTGACGGTATACATCTTAAACTCTGTTTATCTGCCAAAAAAGCTAGGAATTAACAACCAGAAAAAAATATGATACTAATACTATGCAGTTTTGTCAACAATATGAGAAGCTGAAAATCATATCCGTCTATATTTAAGCTAATACAAATTCTTAAAGTTAAAAAAGCAACCTGAAATTAAATACAGGGTGTCCCAAAAAACATGGGAATTCAGTGACGAATTGGATATCGTCTTCGTTATGAATTAGCATTGTAATACCTGATTTCAAAAGCCATAATATTATTATGTCTGCTAGAGTTTATTTTATGCAAAGGGTACAAGAATGTAAAGATCTCTCTATAATGTCTCCGCAAGATGAACCGTGAAGACGGACAAGTTTACTCTGTTTGTAAAAAATTGTCTTGTTTTACTAAGTACAACCGTATGCAGTCAACACATAAACAAACAAAATGTGAACATAGCAGACGAAACTCCTACAGACTACAGCTTTCTCAGAGCCCGAAATTTAAAAGAGTATCGTTGAACGAAACTCCCGAGTTTCCTTTTTGGGGTCTTGGGAATTGTGTAGATTTTGATTTAAGAAATTTAAAAAAATGAAGAATATGAAGAAACTTAATAAAATAATATTTCACAACAAAAATATTGATATCCACAAAACTGCCTAACCCCATTCTTGAAACCCGGGTTTCAAAACAGGTTTTCATAACGATACCCTGTCTTAAGTTTTGGGCTCAGTAGGTATCACTATACTAAATCAAAGAATTATTTAAAAAGACGATATCGAATTCGTCACTGAATTCCCATGTTTATTGGGACACCCTGTACAATTAGGTTGAGTACAAACCATGACTCATTTGATATGAACGATTAAAGTAAAAAGATAAAACGGCCAGAAAATCACAAGATTAGGTTAATGAAATAAACATTTAAAGATACTTTTCTTTATAAACTCATGTTTCACTCAACCTTTAAGCAAAGAAAACATATAATGATCAGTTATGGTTGTCCTTTGTATTAGTCTATAACATTGAAGGGATTAAAAGTCGTCTTCTTTAGAATGTCACAGTAACTAAACAGACTAGACTGTCCCAATAAACATGAGAGTTGAGACACGAATTTCAGATTGTCTTTTTTATGGTTCATGTAAATAGTAAATGGCTATTTTTGTAATTTTAATTATCAACATAAAACTATAAATACAAACAATGAAAACAAAACTCTAGCAGAAACCTTCTTCGAATTACAACTTTCTTAGAATTGGCATCACTTAACTAAATCAAAGACCATTTACAAAGACGATCTCAAAGTCGAACTTAAATCTTAAGTTTGTTGGGACACTTAAGACTTAAAAAACCGTGTAGTTATAAAAAATGATGATATTCAATACTTACCCAGTGAAAACAATATAGAGAGAACACCTTCGTGAATCCTTCAGGAAACATTAATCTAGGGGATTCCTCCATCTAAACAGTTCACAGTAAACTGATTAGGAAACATTAATCTATGGGGTTCCTCCATCTAAACATTTCACAGTAAACTGATTAGGAAACATTAATCTAGGGGATTCCTCCATCTAAACAGTTCACAGTAAACTGATTAGGAAACATTAATCTAGGGGATTCCTCCATCTAAACAGTTCACAGTAAACTGATTAGGAAACATTAACATTGACATGTTAGAGATACAACATCCTTAGCGACGTTACCGTCTATATACAGGGTGTCCCAAAAAACATGGGAATTCAGTGACGAATAGTATATCGTCTTTGCTATGAATTAGCATTGTAATACCTAATTTCAAAAGCCATAATATTATAATGTCTGCTAGAGTTTATTTTATGAAAAAGGTAAAAGATTGTAAAGATGTGTCTATAATGTCTCTGCAAGATGAACAGTGAAGACAAGTTTACTCTGTTTGTATACTGCAATTTTCTTGTTTTACTAAGTACAACCGTATGCAGTCAAAACATAAACAAACAAAATGTAAACATAGCAGACGAAACTCTTACAGATTAAAGCTTTCTCAGTTGGTATCACTATACTAAATCAAAGAATTATTTAAAAAGACGATATCGAATTCGTCACTGAATTCCCATGTTTTTTGGGACACCCTGTATATAAAGCATTAACCTCTGCTTCAATCTCTGTTTAAATGTCTGTTTTTATGTCCGACTTAACTTAGAAATTCTTTGACATTTTGTTTTGGGAACTATGTAGAACCACGGGAGTGTTTTAGCTTAGTTAAAAAACTCTAAGTTGAATAAGTTGATTTTTACAGTTTAGTTTCAGGCAAAGCAGGGTTCCCAATGCTAGTGTAATAAAGGACGACATTATATTACTTTCTACTTTTTTCTGTTGTATAGTTTACCTTCTCTAGATCCATGTAATGAAACTCTGTATTCTTATCTCCATAGTTGAGAGAGGAGAACCGAACCATCTCAAGGGAATTGTCTATTCCAGTCATCTTGTGGAGAACAGGTATACGCTAAACAATTATATTTTTTTCTTGGACGTGAACAGTAAACAGGATTTAACCGTTTATTTTTAATCTCTAATCGTTCTAATTTTAAAACAAGGGGAATTTCAATTCTGTGTTGGGGGGGGGGGGGTAACAATGTCTTAATCATGTTTGAATGTACAAACAGTCTTTATATTCAAAATTTTCCTTCTGCTGCAGCAATGCGAAACAAACAAACAAAAATTATTAAATGAAATAATGATGTTTGTACTGTACGTTGCTGTTACCTGTGATATAAGAGTAACTGTAACATCTCCTGAACCTGAACCAATATCCAGTATTCTCTCATTATCATTCCAGCTCATGGTAGGGAGAATAGTACTCAGAGCAATCTCTGTATTTAAACATTTATTTATCTTAGTTTAACGCTGATGGATTAATTTCGAGTTTACGATTTTGTTCAATATAATTATTTTGTATTAAAAATCCATTTTGAATAAAGTTAACATAAAAATATTATATTAGGAATGAATTGAATACATCCGAAGAGGATATTCGGGTTTAAAGGAGACCGTTGTGAAATAGAAATTTCACTTAAAAATTACATTGACCAAGCCCATTAGAAAGAATTTTTAATCGATTTGCCAAGTACAAAATGTTTCCTGCATCTCGTCTTTGCATCTGGTTAGAGCTGGAATACAACGCTGCATCCTGCATTCTACAATAAACTTTGTTATTTTTACAAGTCTTCTCCAGAAAGAGAGATATTAACGATGATACCTTGTATACAACTAATATAGAATGTTTTTAATAGATATTGTAGAAATATGATCCGTGTATGCATTGTTCCTTGAAGTGACCCCTTTAGTGCATGGTTCTTAGTGATCCACTTTGAACATGGTTTGCAGAAGTGAACCCGGTCCTATGTGTATGGTTTCCAGAAGTGAGCCCGACCCTATGTTTATGGTTTCCAGAAGTGAGCCCGACCCTATGTGTATGGTTTCCAGAAGTGAGCCCGGCCCTATGTGTATGGTTTCCAGAAGTGAGCCCGACCCTATGTGTATGGTTTCCAGAAGTGAGCCCGGCCCTATGTGTATGGTTTCCTGAAGTGAGCCCGGCCCTATGTGTATGGTTTCCAGAAGTGAGCCCGGTCCTATATGTATGGTTTGCAGAAGTGAGCCCGGCCCTATGTGTATGGTTTCCGGAAGAGAACCTCTTAATGCGTGGTTTCTTGAAGTAAACCCTTAGAGGCAACGTTTCTGGTTAACCCGTTCTCCTTATGTGCGTGGTTCTTGGTAGTGACCACTTTTATAAGTGGTTCTAAGAAGTTAACTCCTATGTGCATGGTTTATGGAAATAAATCCCTTCATATGTGGTTCCTAGAAGCAAACAATTAATTGCATAGATCCTGGAAGTTAACCCATGCTCCCCTGTGCGTTGTTCTTAGTAATGACCCCCTTTTGTACGTGGTTCCTAGAAGTGTGAACCCCTATGTGCATTTTTTCTAGAAATAAAGCATTGTTTCTAGAAGTGAACTCCTTATACCCGTGGTTCCTTGGAGTAAACCCAATTATGCACTTCTTGGAATCAAATGTATGAGTTCACTTCAAGAAACGATGCGAGTGGTTCCTTGAATAGAACCGTCATCTATGTGGTTTTACGAACATAGAATTGAACCCTTAAATGGACCGTTCACTTATTTGGGTAATTTCAGGGTAAACTGAACAGCCTATTCGCTCTTACTTTTCAAAGACAACTGTGGCCGGAGAAAAAGCCGATTTTTCGTTCAGAATTTGAGCGGAAAGGGACGTTCCCTCTCTATAGACACTATTTGTTATTTTTTTTCAGTGACAGCAGCCCAATAACATTTAAATTTATTATATTTTAATGTCATTATGTGTTCGTTATTATGAACTATTATATGAAAACTTTTGATATTTGAGTTAGCAAGAAATTTACGTTTTTCGTATTAAAACATGTAAAATATGTATACAAAGACGACGTCTCTACGACAATCAGTTAATCATTACTCGTATTTTGGTTCGTAGATTTTGTAGATTTTGTTCGCGTATGTGCACAACTTTTCATATGTCATGCCGCGTTCAATTCAGCTTTTTACACGGGCAATACACAATTTTGAATGCGATAAAATAGTGTTATTTTAGAAATAGAAAGTTTAAAAACAACAAAAATAAAAAAATAATGACATTTACAATTAACGATCAGATACTACAGTTTAATTTTATATTCGAAATTTATTTTGATTCACAACATACTGAAAAAAACATCAATTAGTGTCTATAGAGAGGGACCGTCCCTTTGCGCTCGAATTCTGAACGAAAAATCGGCTTTTTCTCCGGCCACAGTTCTCTTTGAAAAGTAAGACTATTACCAATCAAGAGCGAATAGGCTGTTTAGTTTACCCTGAAATTACCCAAATAAGTGAACGGTCCCTTTAAATGTGTTTTGTATGGTCTCTATTCACTGTAAACTCAGGTTTATACCGGGCCGACTTGTAAGCAGCTAGAGCAAGCTGTACTTTACAAATACAGGCTAGAGAAATTTATGTGTAGAAGAATGTCTCCTCCTCTAATGAAAAGGACAAAAAAGCTGCTGGGCATCCACTGTACAGCAATACAATAGTAAAATACATAGCAAAACATAATGTACATTGTAAACACATTTATCTGTAATCTTGGTCAAAAAACTAAATCAGAAAATGCTTTTAGGACAAAACTCGTTAAGCATGTAATAGTACCTCAATCTGTTTTGATACAGTTAGACCCAAAAACTGCGGAATAGCAAGACGGCATTTTCAGCAATCTTATGTGTTGATATTTGCTGTTGCTGTAAAATCAATATACTGAGTTAAATGTGCCTGTGTACATTGTACAGTTGCTGTGTTTTGTGTTGAATGGACTGCTGTTTAAAACCGCAACTCGGATCTAATAGGCTTTTTAGTTTTTTCTATTTTAGTTTTATGAGTCTTACTCTATAATTCAAACACTAATTAGTTAAACCGACGAATTTTTCTCTTTAGGGGGCGGGGGTTGATCACACAATTATATAAATGAAATTTTAAATCATAAACCTACTTATTGGATGGTTTCTCGTTCAAACATTGATGAATAACTACTGCCAACTTGTTTCTCAAACCATATTTTAAGAATACTCAACTCTCAGGGGGTTTTAACAGAAATAATTTCGTAATTAATTTTTTATTCAATTTAAATTATTTTAACATTTATTTAAGAAAAATGAGCAAAAAAAATTGTTGGAAAATATTGAAGTTTTTGTGTCACCCCCAGGTTTTAAAATTAGTATAAGGTTTGGCTAAAGCACTGTTCTATTAATAGAGAGAAGCAGATAACCTTTCTATTAACAACTTTACTTTGGGTCATCGTTAAATCTCTATAATACGCCATATATACAAACATACATACATACAGAAAGTAGAATAGACGACATCTACATTCTACATATATTTATAGTAGTAATCTATATTTGTTTGTATGATCAAAACTCATAATTCCATTGACCAATTTGCCTCAAATTTTGATTTGGGAACTACGGTATTGTTCTTATTTTGGGTTTAAAGTGCTAAATTATTTAAGTTGACTTTTTTAAGGGAAAGTTTAGTTTTCGGACAAAGCAAGGTTTCTTAGGGGTTAAATGTTAAAGTGATCGGGTTTTTTACTTGAATAAACAAATTCAAATTTTTTTTTTCACGAATAGAATATAAGTAAATCTAGTGAAGGTTGTTTCAGAAAATTATAAAACCGAAGGTAGTTTTCAGCTGAACGTTGGAACGATTTTTTTTACAAAAATCTGAAAAATCTTCTTAAAGTTTGTAATCTTGTTAATTCATGTTAAATGTTGAATTATTGAATTATATTTATATGAATTCAATTTATCAACGTTCAAAATATGTATAAATAAATGTATGTTATCTAAAATAAACACAAAAACCTGATTTCCTCTCTTTCCTAAAAAAGTGACATAATAAATTTCACATGCTTAGCTGTGTTAGTGTAAATTAGGAAAACATGGAGGAAAAATACGTAAGCATATTATCTATATTTAAATTATGATTTGACTTTTGTTAAAGATAGTTGTCACGATCCCAACATATTTTTAGAAAATCATCGCGGATCAAAGAATATTGCTTTTTAACCCAAGATAAATTACATCAATAATCAATGATAAAAGGACTAGACGTAATATAAAGTGAACATCCATTTATAGAGATGGGATGTACAATTCACAGCGGCACAATTAAAAACTTTGTCTAATCAAGAATAAAAATTAAAAATTGGTTATTTTCAACATTTCTTGGGTTCTCTGTGGACCTTTAGCTACAGAAACAATGGAGGAATTTGTGAAAAATTAACATTACAATGAGAGTGGTTATCACAATGTGTGATAAAATGAGTTAAAAGTTCCGCTACAATAAAATACAGGAGTTACCCTTAAATATGGGAAATAAGTGGCAACCTCAAAATAATATTTAATCCCGCGGCATTTTCGTACACACAGCAATAATAGTAGTGCTTCAATTAATTACCAGAGGAATCTATGGGGATTTCCTATATGTGGTCTGCTATTTTAATACGTAATAACCATACCTTCAATATTTACCGAGATACTAAGAAATTAAACTTAGATATTTTAAACTATGAATTCTGTTAGATTAAATAATCTTAGTTTAAAATATCAAGGTTTACACCATCAGGTCGTAATAATATAGAGATTAGAAAATTTTAGTTTGTGGCAAAAGCTCAATTCCATTGTTTGAAATATCAAAATCTAACTCCTAAAATCTTAAAGAAAAAAAGAAGCTAGCCCATATTTTTTTAAGGAACAGACCGGCTATGTAAGGTAGTTAAACTGAGTATGCAGTGTTTTGGACAAATTCTTTAGGATTCATTTGAGATATATAAAACTTTTGTATAATTACTGAGTTTGAGAGCATAGTCGACGTTCAAAATCATGAATTTTTCAGAATCGTTTTTTTTTAATTATTTAATAACGACAACGAAAATAAAGTAAAAATTATACAGTAAACTAACTAGATGGTTAGGAACATATTTCTCAAAAGAAATTTGTCAATAAATCATTGCTATAATCAATTTTTTCGTTTTCATCATTATTTTGAATTTCTTATTTTCTATGAATTTACTCGCAGATTTCTACTAAATTCTACAAATGTCGTCTTTTCAATAAAAATTCCAGAAAATCTGCAGATCTTTGTGAATAATTGAGAGATTATAGAAACTAATAATTGAACAAGATTTCTTATTTTCGATGATAAGATTAATTTTTATTTTCTCAACCTGTCCCTAAACAACTAATTAGTTTACTGTAGAATTTTGTTTACATTTTTTGTCGTCGTTATTTAATAATTAAAAAAAAAAAATTCTGAAGACGTATCCACTCAAAAGTACGATTTTGAACGCCGACTTTGCGCTCAAACTCAGAATTTACAGATCTTTAAAAAGTTTTATATGTCTCAAATGAATCCTAAAGAATTTGTCCACAACACTGCATACTCAGTTTAACTACCTTACATAGCCGGTCTGTCCCTTTAAAGCTCACAAGGCAGTTACTAATATTTCAAAATTAAAGACGATCTCAATTTCTTTCTATGTGTATTGGGACACCCTGTAGATGATATAACGTTGAATAGAATGAGAACCTGATTGAGTATACTGGGGGCTGCCATTGTGGTAAAGTTGGCTGGAATGTTCTGGCTCCAGCTCTTCTAAAAGGTAAACAAGAAACTTTCTGGATTAAAATGTCAAGTTTTCAAGAAAAAGTAATTCTAACTATTTTGTTTTGTGGAGGATGACTAATAATTATTCCACCTTCGTTCCAAATTGTCCAGTCAAATTATCAATTCTAGTTTCATTTATGAAGAAAAAGAAAGAAAAAGCGCAGAAATCGCTGTCTAAAAATAATTAAATAAAATCTTAAGTGGTTCGATGCAATTGCTCCGTGTGCAGAATGAAAATGAATGATCACGTGATAGTTCCCGAGAATCGATTTATTCTTTTGTTCGGAAAAGACAATCTTCAAACTTACACTTTCAACACTCATCAAGCAAGGTGAAATTTACCATATTAAGTTTTTTGTTGTAATTTATGTAATTTATGTAAGATTGATTTCTAATCTACACAAGACGACTTTCATCCCATGAAAATCCCACAAAGTATGGGAGTTAAGAAAGGACTGCAATGATTTTTCCTGGTCTTAATTCTTAATTTTTAAAATGTAGTCTTCAAAAATAAAAGACGACTTTTAAGTAGTCTCTTAAGTGTCATGTTTCGTGGGACTTTTGTTAAGCGTTAAAAAGCTAATTAAAATAGTTCTTTGCTTTTCAATATTATATCCTTCTGAAACTAAAATCCAAATTTCAGAATTTCAGAATTTTGTATATTCATAATTCATGGTTAAACAACTTTATTTTAACATCCTATCTATACTGTGCAGGCATCTATTCTGTAAAAACTGTGGGGTTCAAAGTTTCTACCGACCTAGATCTAACCCAGGAGGAGTTGGGTTCATGCCACATTGTATTTTAAGCCCTGATATTCAGGTTGTGTATTACAATGTGTTTTAATATTCAGGGAAAGGAACTGAACACTTGCCGCATACTTTGATATTCTAATCCTTATATCTTTGTAACCAGACGTATAAATTCTGCTAGAGTAAAAAGCAGTATTGTCAAATAATGTTTAGTTTCTTAACTTAAAATCACGCTTACAGGGAGTTCAAGATTGTTGATTTACAAGGTTTTTGTACATTTAAAAAAAAATGACACTTAAAAGCTTCAGAAAATATTTTTGTTGTTACCAAAGACCCAAATTGTCTAAAATCCAAAATGAAGACAAAATCTAAAAGATTCATTTTGTATTTGATTGTTCTGTAGGAGATCCAGTTGATCCAATTTGATGGAAAGGATTGGGAGAAATCTTACCATGAAGATAAATTGATAAAGAGTATGTCAAATTAGATATTGTATTGAAATAAAGCATTACATAAACAGACCATTGCAGAAAAGAAATTTGTAAATTACTTGCACATATACTTGTAAGAAAAGTCTACTTGTTTCTGTTATGAATCTTGATTTAAATAATATTAAAAATTTGTGAAAATTATAGATAATCTGCATCATATCCACAAAACTTGATATGATTCTTGAAATTCATATTTATTCTTTCTCAGAGCATGTTTGATTTGCCTTCAAGCTCCAAATGCGTAAAAAAAGAATCCCCCAAACTGCAAAAAGTGTATTTTTATTGTCCCCTAAAAAATTTATGTGCGTCTAATTCTGTAAACAATACATAAAAAAAGTTATGCTATATGGGGCTTTTGATTGTCTTAATTTTTATCAGAACTTTTAGAACTTTTAAGAGATTCGATCAATCTTTTACGAGGTTTTAATAACGTTTTATGAAATTCTATCAACGTTTTACGAGATTCTATCGACATTTTATAAAACTCCATCAACGTTTTACAAGGTGATATCCAGAAAACTCTGAAATAGGAAGACGACTTTTAAAATCAATAAAAGTCCAATGAGAATCATTGAAATACATCAATTGCGAAGTCAAAGACCCATTTCAGACGTTATAGATTATAGTAGTTTAATGATTTCATTCATTTTTTGCGAACAATGCTTTTTAAGAAATGATCTGCAATAAACAATGTTAATACAATAGAATCGAGATTTAAACTATCATCTTAGAATTTAATATACTTATTTTTGCAGATTTCTTTAATGTTCCTATCGGCCACTCCTTTTATTGAAAAAAATGACGACTAGATTAAAGCTATATCAAAGCTAGATTAAAGCTAGATTGAAGCTATAGTAAAGCTAGATTAAAGCTATATTAAAGCTAGATTAAAGCTAGATTGAAGCTATAGTAAAGCTATATTAAAGCTATATTAAAGCTAGATTAAAGCTAGATTAAAGCTAGATTAAAGCTAGATTAAAGCTAGATTAAAGCTAGATTAAAGCTATATTAAAGCTAGATTGAAGAAAAAAGTCTTGATTTTAATATTAAAAAGAGGGGCGTGAAGCGTACACAAGTCTAGTCTGAATACATCCAACACATCGGAGAAATCCCTGTTGGGATTTGTGATACACGAACCTGTACTTTGAACAATGAACATGACTGGCAATTTTATCTTACCTTACACATGTACACATATTTACCTGTAGTATATATATATATATATATATATATACTAGCAGTTGAACACTGCTTCTGCCTTCTTCTTAGTGAAATTTATCAAATTATGTGAAAAGACAAGATGAGTTATGTTTCCTGTATTTTGGTAAATATTTTAATAATCTCAACAAATTATTTGGAAATTCGTAGAAAGTAAAATATTATTTTTTATAACACCTCAGCAAAGTCGTTTATGAAGGATGTATTTTATAGAAATAACATAGGACGGGGAAAATTACTATGAAAGTTTGAAAAACTTTGTAATCATTTTAAAAGAAAGTGAAAAACATTCTAGACCTTTCTGTTCCTAAAAAACTTACTACATACAGGGAATATTAAATTATTAATTCTTAACCGCGATTTTTTAACACTGACTGTTAGAATTGAGCCAAATATTTAAAGTTATAGCTTTGTTGATCTTTGATTTGATTTTAAAACAATTACAGTATTTCAGCTCATGTTGCGTTTTGGAAGATATCCTGATTTTGAGACATTTACTATAGAATTAAAATCAATTTCAATTTTCAAGCATTAACACATTTACGTAACAAAACAAGATTTTTAAAAAAGGTAAAATCTAAACGATAAATGACTGATCCTGATTCCTGCCATTAATACTTAAACCCTATTGTATATGAAATGCCTGTATTTTGTTTGTTTTGAAGATACTGTTTTTGGGAGCTGTGACAGGGAACGAAGAGACTGACTTCCAAGATATAAGATTAAAGGTAGGATAGGATAGGATAGGATAGGATAGGATAGGCTCGTTTTGTATATTTTCTACATGCTAAATCGTTTGTAAATCAAAAAAGTGTGAAAGTTTATACTTTTTTTATTTTATTAACAAATTGCCATTCATTTACTATTCCAGCTGACTTTCTCATCCCACCATATCCCTTGATAAGTGGAAATCTATTGTGTTCTCAAATGGTACAACTTTGTGACCTCGTAGCTCCTCTGGTTCTGATCTTACGCATAAGTATGCCTGCAGCAAATTTTTCATGTTACATATTTAAAATTTAAAACATTTCTAATCTTCTCAATATATTATCTTCTATGAGAGGGGAACAGATTGAAAAGATTTGAATTGTTCAATTTACTTTAATTTGCATGACGTGATACATATTTTAATCTAGTGTATTGAGAACCTGCTGCTAGATGATCCTGCTAACCTTAAACATACAGAGAAGAAGTATATTCACACCAGTATTATTCTTGCTCATGTTCAACTACAACCTGACAACCAACCTCCACAAATGATAATAAAACTAAAGGAAAGTTTTTTTTGGATATTTCTACACCTTATTTCAAAATACACATAATACCTTTTTATTTGGAATAACGACTTAGCCTAATTACTAAGCTGTCTGAAATTGCATGCTTTTCTGCATGTCCAGCGTGGCAATGATTTACATTTTCTGTTCAATAAAGATGCTTTACATATATACATTTCATTTACAAAAAGATCGACAATTAATTTAAATGTAATTGATCAGAGTTTATTTTACCATAGTTCGTCCTATAATCCCTTTTATTCTAGATTACTACCACATCACATTAAATCTATTTGTTTCTCCCGAAAATTGGTTAGCACCTATAAAAACGTTCTTTAAAAATGTCTAGTAAATAATACATGATTTATAGTCATTAATTAAAAAATAAAAATATCCTTGAAAAAAAATATCTTCTCAGAAGTTTGTTAGTTCTCTCCTGGGTTCTAGTGTTGGAAGTAAACCTCATCTCATTTTCCTAACAGATCATCAGTCTATGGTTCACATACAACGAGTAATCATTCAAGAGATCGGTAGATCTCTGTCTGAAAATATTATTAGGAAAATAGCTTTTTATATCACTCCAAAATCCTAAGATTCGCTATCTTAGGATTTTGACGAGTTCTGGCAAGAAGGTTTAATTATATTGTTTAATTTCAATAATGAACAATGGATCAAATCAAATCGTAAAAGTAAAACTTTTTATTTAGACTAACAATAAATATAGAAACATAAAAGTTCAAAATTTATTCTTGATTTAAAGAAAAATTTCAAGATAACAGAATTGATAGCTCATTCTTCAAGAAATGTTAATGATTAAAGCTAGTTTTGTGAAGAGTTACAGAGGTTAAGAACAGAAATTGGATGTTTCCGAGGTATGATTTTTTATAGATTTTTTTTCCTAAAAAATGGTTGGGGGGATCGGAGGAAAGTTCTGTTTCAAATTTCCCTCGTAGAAACTGTATACAATCTTATCACTATTTGAAAACTTCGAAAAGACTAATTTTATTTCTCTTAATTATACAGATAAGTAAGATAGCATAAAGTTTTATATACTTATGTATTTATATTCAGATCCTTGAAGGTTGAGTTTGTCTCACTAGAATACTTCTCCTCTAATTACAGAACCGAGATAGGAATAGTTGAATTGATTATATCATCATTAATCACTGCAGAGCTCTAGCTAATCAATTATGTACCTTTATTACATTAATACAATCCATTTTCTCATCTCCTTCGTACCTTTTCGTTCCAAACCCAGCCTATTTTTTGTTGCTAATTTCTACATAACAATATTACTGTTTTCGAATATAAACTTTTGTGGCCCCACAACAAATTTCTTACCCAAATGGGTTAATTTTCTTTAAATAAATAATATTTCAAAACCTGTAAAGGGACTGTCATTTTAACTTTATGTGAACAACAATCTAAAAAAGCTCGATTCACAACGGCAACATTAAAATCTTCATATTTGATCAAAAAAGTGATAAGTATCTAGCTTGGAAAGTTTTAAATTTAGACATTTTCCTGCAAGGTTTTTGCAGTAGAAATTTAAAAGTCTAAACCACAATTGAAAATAAACAAATTTCAAATTTCAGATTTCTTGGTGTAAAAAAAGTCTATAAAGGGTATCTGTGATTATTATTTTCAAGCCCATAAATAGAAAGTCACTTGAAGTTACGTCTACTGTCTCTTTTAATCAGGAGCATTGTTTTTGATTTCCTTTGAAATGCAGATTAAAGTTTAACAGAGAAGAAAAGATCAAAGAACCAACATTTATAGAAAAGCTTTAGAAGCTTGATCGAACAATCTCAATAGAAATGTTGGCTGAAAGATTTAACCCTAAACAGTTCTCTTTTCAGGTTTACTTATTTTGTCTCACGCTTTGTATACATTTAAATTGCAACTACTTGTTCAGATGGAATAAAAAAATATTTCTCCTACTCCGCTACGCAGGAATCTTACCTATATAAGCTCTGAAGAATAGATGCAATCAATATTTTTAAAGATTTGAGTAAATTCCTGAGCATCTCGTTAACTTCCACGACTGAACATTATGATTTTGGTGGGATTTTATCTATTTATACTAAACCTTCCGCCTCTCTATCTTATTGTGCCAATAATAAATATAAATTGGAAGGAATTCATCATGAAATAAATTCTTTAAATCTATTAATTAGATTGTGCCCTTTACGTAACTAAAGCTATGAAATTATAAACTCGTCCTAATTAATTTACTCTGAACGTAACCGCTCCAAGACTCTCTATACCTTCATCTGTTTTAAATTCGGTGAGAACATTCTTAAATCTATGGTTTAGTTTCAAACTTCCAATGGATTCTCTTTGCTCCAGGCAGATCTGCAGGAGAACTTTCAGAGTTCAAAATCAAACTTTACAGCAAGAAAGTTTAAACTTAACGTCTGCAAGAAACCAGTGCAAATAAGTTTACTTTGACTTCTGTTTCTAGATTGTCAATGAGTTCTAAGGTAAAGGTTGAGTTTAGAAAGGAGAGCAAGGAGAAAAATATCAAAAGGAAATACAAATCTAAATATTTTCTTTATAACTTTCTGATTAAAATCCCCCCCTCTCCTTTAATTTTTTCTAATTTTCTGATCAAAATCCCCCCCCCCCTCCTTTAATTTCCTCCAACTTTGATGCTTTACCGCAGGTTGTTATAATATTTGATAAAAATTAATCTAAATTTGCAAAATGTTGCAAACCTTTGCAACAAAGTTTTGAGCAGAAAATAAAGTGAATAACAAGAGAATATTTTAAAACTAAAAGTACTAATAGAAAATTCGAAATTATTTAGCGCAAAGGATTTGAGTTTTTGCCACAAACTCTGATTTTCTAATTACTATATCTTTTTAATCCAATGTCATAGACCTTAGATATTTCAAACTATGAATTATGTTAGATCAAATAATACAAGTTTGAAATGTCAAAGGGTTACACCTTCCTGTCGAAGAGATAAAGGGATTAGAAAATTTGAGTTTGTGGCAAAAACTCAGTTTCTTCCTCATATATTTTAAATAGTTACAAAATCCTTTCCTTTTTCGTAATTAACTTCTTTTAAATAGTTCTTTGTTCTAAAGGCCTCCAGTTGAAAAATTGTGTATCCTGTTTTCTGTGTAAAGTATTAAATATAAAATATAATGTGTTGGTAAGCTTGCTTTCTTTGTGATCATAAAAGATTCAATGATAATTATTTTCAACGAAACTTCCACCCATAAACGACCCTTTTGCCCTCTCCATGTCTAACCTTTGTTTCTAAGTAACGTTTGAATGTAAAATTTGAAATGTAAAATTTAGGATCTGTTTGTTATAGCACCATTCTACTCTAGAGCATTCCCTGAGGAAATCAAGGTGTTGCTGGCGGTAGATGTAGATCTAGAGTTCAGGTTTAATGTAAAACAATTTATGAATTAACAAGGTTGGAATAAATCTTAATCTTTAAAAAAAAATCAAGAACGACTTACCAAAAATTCGCTGAAACTTTTTGAGGAAACCCATGGGTGACATAAAAGCTAAAAAGTAGACATTATTAAAATTTAACGGGCAAAGCTGGGCACTTTATTTAAATCATAATTTAATTCAAATCGCGGGTAATAATAAGAACCCGGGCAGTGCTGTGTAAAGTTAGTAATTAATATAACATAAAAATGGAAAACATATTTAATTCAAAAAGACCTTCAAACGTTAAACTAAAGACCCTGATTTTGGAAACCACATAGCCCAAGTATCAATCTCTTCATTTCAACAAATATTTTATTATTTCAGAACAGATTTATTCTTTGTGCTCAAAAAGTTTGAGATGATGGAAGACAGGTGAACTTTTTGTTTTAAAATCACATCAAGCTAAACAAAATTTTCTAAAACGGGGTGTGTAAAAATAAGATTATTTCTGACTATAAAATCAGGACCAATCTAGGAGGGACGTACTTTATTCATTTGCTTTCCTTCCTTTATTTAATTACCCTATATTTAATTACCCTATATTTAATTACAAACCGTTTGTTTTTATGGGATTACTAAACAAGTTAAAAACAGAAAGGCTGATAAATTATTTTTTCAAGGATTTTGTTGTTGTAATTTTTTTAAATAACCCGGGACCAAAAAATAGTACTTTTAACACAAACTTTAATTCCTGTTATAGTGTAAACCTTAGATAATTCAAACGTAGGTTATTGGCCTATCAAAATTCATAGTTTGAAATATCTATATTGAGTTGCAGAGATTTAAAGATTAGAAAATCAGAGTTTGTAGCAAAGACTCAAGTCCTTTAATGAACACAGAGAAGTAGTTGAACTACGTAGACTAAGTTGTACCACTTATCTTGTGCACCGGTTCAGGTTAAATAGAAGTAGTTCAACGTAGTCTACGTTCAACTTCATCTTGCTATGAATGAAACTTAGTTCCAAAGGATTCCCCCCCCCCCCCCCCCAAACTAATTAGTGGCATTAAAAAGGATTTTTATTTTGAAAAACATCGTTAGTCATATTGATGTGATTCCTGAGGATTATTTTGTTCATCCTATAAAATGTAATATATTTCTGAAGAAAAAACGAATGTTTTATTTCCAATCTTGATTCTTACTCTGCTCAGTGAGTTGATAGCAGTTGGTCCTGATCTCTCCCCTCACTACTACTTAAAGCTTGCTGCCTACAGGGAGAAGTTTCCAGAAACAGCTGTGGGTCAGCCTGGGAAAACACAGGTAACCCGTCTAAATTTGCTATGTAAATATATCTATTTTCTTTCTCAATGTCCATATTTTCCTTGTAAATATTCACATGTTCTTTTCTAATATCCATATTTTCTATATGAATATCCAATGTTCTTTGGAAGACTAAAGAAATTGAGTGCATACCCCTCATTCAAATTTTTTATCCCTAGCTTAAAAACCTGATTGTGTAAACCTTTGATATATTAAATATTTGATCTAACAGAATTGATGTTTGTTGCATACAACTAATTCCTCTATTCAATTTCTAGCTGAATCCCCCCTTCCCCCCCCCCCCCTCCATCTCCTGCTCTGGAAAATATATTAAGTGAATTCTCTCATGTGAATTGGAATGGTATCTCTTGTAGTTCTGTTCTAATACCGATATTGAAGGGATTTAATACTGGAGTTGTTATCTATGATCTGGAAAGATTGAGAGAAATTAATCATCTTCGAGAGTACATTTCCCCAGAGTACATCAAGTACCTCGTCAACAAGTACATGTTCTTTGGAACTGTTGGAGATCAGGTACAAAAGTACATATTCTCAGTACTCACACGCACAAATAACTTTCATTGTACACTAGCTGAAGTACCCGGTTGTGCCCGTTAAAAAAAATGATAATTTGAAAGAAAAAAATTTTGAAAAAAAATCGATTTTTTAGCCCGCCCATGAGAGTCCACAAAAAATTTCAGCCCATTCGGTCCAGCTGTTTGACCGGCTATAGGGAACATACAAAGGAATGTCTTGTCTTATTATTGTACATTAATTGATTTAGCAAAATTTCTAAACCTATTTTTTTTAAAGGATTTCTTCACTATGTTGGGATGGGAGCATCCTGAACTATTCTATTCTCTACCCTGCTCTCTCAACTACCAAACCTATTTAGAAAAGGCGAGGGTTAAAAATATTAAAAGAACTTTTTCGTCATGATGGTAGATTGAAATACTTTTGTCTATACGAGAAAATGAAAAAGTATTCTCTAAATGAGTTCTCAAATATCAAAAATCTTCAAATAATCTCGATCTATAAAGGGGTTGTTAGAACAATTCAAAACTTTCAGCTGAAAAAGAAGCTGGACATCACCATTTTTTTTGGAATAGAATAAATCGCAGACTTTATTTTGCTATTGAAATCCAAAAGTCTTAAGCGGTAGCGTTGAAAATCGTATATGGCATTTTTCTATCTCAAGTGTCAGCTAAAATTAAGTTAACCGTTCCTGTTAGTCCATGTATTTTAAGTTGAACATAAAATAAATATCCATAAATTCCATAAATTATCCATATTCAATCGTTCATGGAATTGGTTACCTTAAGAGTCACGTTAAAATTAAGTTAACAGTCCCTTTAATGTCAATGTATTTTAAGTTGAAACATAAAATCAAATAATCCATATGAAAAAAAGATTTTTAACCTGATATCCAGATAACCACGGAGGAATTCAGACGGAACTACACAAGCTTTATAAATTGTCCAGAGTATCCTTTAATTATACATTCTAACGGATCTATCTAATATAGTGAACCCCTTAATAACGAATACATCGAAAGAATTTATCAAATGTCGTCTTGACAATTTTTCAATGAGTTTTATAATATATTACGTAAATTTCAGTATTTGCGAAAATAAATAAATATCCATGAATTTGCGGGAACAGTTTCAAAGAGTTCCATATAATCATTTAATTAAAAAACTAAATATCTGCAACATTCCATTATCAGAAAGTGAAGAATACGACATTTGATGAATTCTTTCGATGTATTCGTTAATAAGGGTTTCACTGTATATTCATAATCATGTTAATACACAACCTTTGAAACGGAATAAAGATAATTTGTTCTATTTTACAAACTTTTAAATAGGGCCTAACTCGCCTAAACAAGGCCTCGGCGCTAACTGTCTGGATTATAGAATTTCACCTGATAAAATATTTTCTCAATTTTTTATATTCTTGACTGCAACAAAAAAAGCTAAAATAGCAAAAAAATGGTTATCGGTAATAAAAACAAAAATAAAAAGTTTAAGTTAAAGAGGGTTTATTAAGGTGCCCAAGATACCTAAAATTTCACAGCAAACATTAAAATCCTCGTGACAGTGAGCCATCACCACTTTTAATCCCAATAAAAAAGTTAGAGAACATTTTTGGAATGCAATACAAAAATCAACGTTTTACTAAGACAGATTTCCCCGATATTCTTTTATTCCCACACTCAACTGACTAGTCCAGAGGCCGAATTTGAAGAATTTGAGCTGCGGCTCAAATATGAGACGCGGTTCAAACATGGTTGGTCCACTTGAAATTGTGTTTCGAGATTTGAGCCGGCGCTCAATTAGAACAGGTTTTTGGCGGTTCAGCGACGCGGTTTAAATTATTTAAATTCGGCCTCAGGGCTAAGTATGTTGTAAAACTACTTTATCTAACTAACAGAAGATGAACTATATTTTGACACAGCTTAGAATTATTTATGAGACACGCTTAGTGATAAACTGGTGCAAAACAGTTCTTAAAGCAGTATTTTGATTATCAGCATAGATAAAGATAGATTGCGCATAAGACGACATTTTTCATCTTGAAAGAACAGAGATGTTTTAAAGATATTCCTACTATATAGATTAACTAGGTCGGTTGTGAACATTGGCTGTTCTTATGTCATTGAGTACTTGTGGTGTACATGAGTTCTGTAGAGAGAAATTTAAGTTAGTTTAGTCCTTCTCATGTCCTTCTTCAGTTCTCGTCAATATGATATATTGCTCAGTAAAATATTTTTGTTCAAATAGTTCCATTCCCGGAGTTATTTTGCACTCTATTATGAAATCCATTAAAACACCAAACCACCCCGCTTATCATTGAAGTACACTTTGACCCCTAGAAGTATTAGTTTGCGGACTGTACAATTCTTGGTGATTTTGCGTACATAAGCTATATATGTTTATTTATTTATCTATGATTATCATATTTAGTGGAGCAACTGTATTTCATAGGTTGAATTTAGGGTACGCACTTTTTATTTACACGAATGATGTTATAAGCTTAGTGGGCTAATTGGAATTGAGTCAAAATGTCAAACAAACAAAAAACACTGGAATCGGGTGATTTTCCATTCACACTGACTTGCTAATTTGCTTAACACCTGCTTACCTTAAATATGTATAATCCATTAAAAATATCTTGTTGAACAAAAATGTATGTATATGCTTTAAAATTTTACGCCATATACAACTGTATCATTTAAAATTCTTATTTGAAAGCACTAAAACTAAAAGAATCCTTTTACTGAGTGGTAAACAGGTTGGCAGAGTGACGTCATTGAACAAATTTTGAGAGAAATAAGAAAAACAAAAACAGTCTAATCGTATATATTTAATGGGTTTGAAAACTTCCATTAAAGATACTATAAGCTTATTTTAAAGTGACACTCACTTCTTTATTAATTTCATCTTACGATTACCCTTATGGTATTAAACTAAGTCTGCCATGGGGGTTCGCCGAGGGTCAAACGACTTGGGATCAAACGACCCAGGGTCAAACGACAAAGGTTTAAATGAAAAACGATTAAAAACGCGACAAAGGGTAAAAATTGAGAAAAAAATATTTAATGTATCATTTGTGGGTTAGGGTAGGCTAAAACAATTTCTGGGACGAGCGCTGCGGGTAGGACTGGCTAGGGGACGAGCGATGCGGCTAGTAGTTCAAATGAACATAAAACATAGCATAAAATATTTATTACTTCAAGATTATGTTAGGTTAAGACAATTTCTGGGCCGAGCACTGCAGCTAGCACACAGCTAATGTACATAAAATAGTTCAAATTAACCGTTTATTGCACTTTCTGACCCTATGTCGTTTTACCCTTTGTCGCATTTTTGACCGTTGTCGTTTGACCCTAGCTCGTTTTACCCCATGTCGTTGGACCTTATGGCATTTGACCCTAGGTCGTTTGACCCTATGCTGGTGAATCGCCATGGGATATTTATATGCTCTTCTGAGATACTTTTATTGATTCCTTTGTAAATCAGGGATATTTTACCTCGCGGTTATTAGAAACCTTTTTATCAATACTTGAAACAATTTATTATGTGTTTCTGTATCATAATCTTATTTTATTCGAATTAGCAACCAAACATATGATATTGGGTATAATCCAGCATCAATGGTGTCGGAAACATACCTCGGGTTGTTATTCATATATATTTTGCTATTCCATGTGTGTATCCAATAAACGTCAAAACGCCTGAACTGAGACGGGCCATTTATTTGGAAGGTTTATAGTGAGTCCAAAATTGAACAATTTTGTGTTACATTAATTGTTTTGAAAATGCACCAATTTAAACAGAACAAATCTGCGGAAAAAATGGTGGCTTTCTTAGGAAAAGTTAAAAGCTAAACTTGTTAATAGGAAAGGGGCGCCACACAAAAATGTTAAAACTACGAATTTTAAACTAAATACATGTTTAAAACTTTACACGCTTTTTGTTTTTTTTCAACTTAAGATCTCCGATAACTATATATTATAAAAAAAAATATGAAAACCAATTCTTAGAATTTTAAGCAGACATTTTTCTGAATAAATAATTTTCTTTATTCGTTGAATATTTTTTAATCTTCTAAATTTTAAACGTTGCTTATATCTTTTATTTTTTTGTATTAAAATGGATAAATAGTTTTCTAGCATTATTGGAAAAGCAATCAAAGTTTAAAAGCAAAGTAGAATGTAATTTGATATATTGTTTTTCTATTAGAAATCTAGAGCATGCTTTCGAAGTTTATGATCCACAGAAATGGGAGCTCTTCTTTTCTCAGGCGGGCTAAAGTAGAATACAAGTTACAGATTGAAATGTTCATTGAATATTATTTTAAATTAACCTTGGTATGCTCGCAGTGTTTGGTCTTGGAGGTTTGGTTGTGATGGACTCCTTGGAGTCGAACCCCCATACCATGGGAGATCCAGGCCGGGATATAACAGTAGGAGGGATCTCTCCGACTAAGTCCTAGAACAGGAAAAATTAATTTTGTTCTCAGGACTCAGGAAATAAATATAAAGAGACTCAATAATGTTGGGAATTTGATGAGACAGCATTTATACAAGAAACTTATTTACTAATATCAGAATTCTTTGTGAAATAAGTTAAATTAAAAATCCACAAAAATTGTTCAAACAGTCCGTTTGATAAAGTGATTGTTCTCGTTCAAAACATTTTGTTTACCTTATGCTTTGTTAGGGTTTTAGGTGGGTCTGATTCTATGAGTATGGGTCCTTTTAGTAACACCAGATGAGAGTTATCAAGGATGCAAGTTTTCACCTAGAAGTTCAGATTAACCAGTTTTGTTTTAAAAATATTATTTTTAACTATTGCATTTGTTGAAAATTACCTTAATTTGTTCTTCTGGTGTGTTGGTGGGATCTTGATCTGGCACTTCAGCTTCATCCATTAGTTTTGTGGATTTGGTTTCTTGTGTTTCCTTTTCATCTGTATTCGTCATACTTGTACTGTTCTCCAGATGCCTAATCAAACGTAAAAATATCACATATCATCAAAAGCAAAAGAAAGAATATTTCATTTATCAATTGAAACTTCTGCGATTCTTCGCCAATATTGAGTATTTATCTAGATGCGATTTTTAGCAGTTTCTTTCAACGTGATTCAAAATTAATATCTTGCTTCAAATTTACATCCTCTCCAGAGTATTAATGCAAAACGAAAAACATTATACGTTACTAATGTATAAAATACATGGGTTTCTTTAAGATTTACTTCCTTATGATAGGAGGTGGAGGAGGCGTATCCTGTGAAGCGTCTGAAACTTCTATTCCAGCATCGCCACAATCAAACTAAACATATGACGTACATGATCGAAACTATCAAATACTGATATTTTCTGTTGCAAACGTCTGAAAGGGACAGTGAGCGTAATTCTGAGTGAATCTCCATGAAAAGATGGCAATGCCCAATTTACTACGGCACCATTGAAACCCTATTCTGACTCGAAAAGTGTTTATTTCTGTGAGTTTCTTCTTTGCTTCTTATAAACAAGTGAACTCGAAAATGATCAAAAAAAACAATGATATCATATTCAACTTAATCAGACAAAGGTTTCAAGAGTACTATTGTATCATCATCATATCATATATGTATTCAACTACAAAGCATGAAATATTACAAATAAGCAATCACAATTTACTATGCAGTTTGGACCCGCCTAACCAGGGTTGGTTGTTTTGAGTGGTTGGGCCGAAGATAATTAATGATACTGAATATAATTGGTTACACATATCAAGATATGTTTTTGGATAGGTAAGGAGTTGATTGGAAGGAAGGAGATTGTCAGGTGATCTGTGGCAGGGTGAGATCAGAGGGATTTTTATGTAGAGATAAATTAAAATACAGGGTGTTAATGATGGTAGTTACAGAAACAGAAATAAGCTAATAAAGTTTTAGTTATTTTAGTCTTTTTTACAGTCCCTTTAAAGGGTTTTAAATTATCACCAAGTGCAGGGGTTGTAATCTGGCCTCACATACATTAAACTGCGCTTTATTTAAAGCACATACAGGCACATCAGGAGGAAAATAAAGCTTGATCAATATTCAAAAAATCTATAAATAAAATAAATTAAGCTACCATTTTAACATTTTCTTACGTGCAGTTTGATGTTTCTTGAAAACTAAACGTTTATTTAAAATGGCCCTGATTCAAGTATAAGGTTTTGCAAATGCCTTAATTTTGCAACATTCTGTCATATTGTTATTTTTACTATATTTTAGTTGTTTTAACAATCTTAACAAGATATTTTTGCATTCCTAAGATAAAATATTTTTCTGATGAGGTAACCTTCTTGCTTAAGATTTCAGTTCTCATTCAAGAAGCAATTTTTTTAAAGTTTGTGCTGACTCAGGGCTCAGATACTGTTAAAAAGTTTTATATTTGGAATAAAGTTGAATGCAAAACATAAACTATGAAGAATATTCTTAAATAAACAAGGTTGAAGTTCTGCACAAAGGAATTGAGTCTTTGCCACAAATTCAGTTTTTGTAAAACCTATATTTTTGCAACCTTATGATGTAAACCTTTGATATTTCAAACTTACATTATTTGATCTAATGCATTCATAGTTTGAAATATTAAAGGTCTACGACATTGGGTTGCAACGATATTGAAATTAGAAAATCAGAGTTTGTGGCAAAAACTCAATTCCTTTGTAATTCCTTTATAAAAAAGCTGTTTTTTTGGTATGCAACAACCTTCACTGAATCCTGCTAACCTAAAACCTTATTTATCCAGGTTCATGTTAAAACCAGCTCTTCAAAAAGAAATGTCATTAGAATCAATGAATATTAAAACCCCAACGGTATTCAATGATAGACCCGAGGGCATGGCCCAAAGGAATTGAGCCTTAGTTACCAACTCAAAGTTTCTTATTCCAATATCTTTGCAACCTGTTAATGTAAAACCTTGATATTTCAAATTAAGATTATTTAATATACCAGAATTCTTAGTTTGAAATATCTAAGGTCTTCGACATTGGGTTTCAAATTGTGGCCGAGATTAATTCCTTTGACCACACTAAGACCGACCATAATATCTCAGACAAAGTCGTTTCTTGTACTTGTCAGTGAATGATTGATTAAGATTATGTTAGACATTTATAAAATTCTGGACGACAAATGATACAAGATTTATACTAACTTTAGAATTTAATCAGTATCGTTTAGTAGAACTGAACTTCAACTAATTTTGATTTGTTCAAATATCAAAGAAATGGCATGATATAAAACTATTGGATTTATAATCTAAATTCTTAATTCATTTGAAATGAACTAATCCGCATAAAAATGAACATTTATATCTGGTAATAGTCTTTCGAACCATCTATCTTTATCTATAGGAACAGCGAGAACAGCTAATCAGGGAAAGCCGAAAAATTTGAAATTTTGCGCGCCATTTGTTGAGTGAACTATCATTGATGGGAAACTGGCAGAGAGCACAAGAGTGGATTAAGAAGGAAATTAAAAGTATCCACATTGGACATCTAGATTAAGTTATCGGGATTAAAGATATCCAATTCTAAGTTTTCAGCTCAGGTCCAATTTTGCATAAGATAACGTTAATCTGCAATGCCGAACTGGATTTCAACAGGTTAATATTTTTAGCAGATATTCAAAAAGATTAAACTTGATCCGTGAAACCACAATTATGTGTAATTTTTGCTTACTGGCGCGATCAACACAATAAAAGTTCCAACTATAGATATTCTTCTGTTTGAGGAGAGTTCCTTTCTGGTAAAATACTAATTAGTAAATGGTGGATGAATGAGAAAGTTACAGCTGTAAACATCTGTAAAACCTAGCAGTGTACTTATATACTCTAACAATCAACATGAAAAGGAGTTGTTTATATATTTGAAAATACAGAAAATATATCTTCTAATTGTTGTAAAGCAAAATTATTATAAAAAGATATTTTACACTGTTTGAAAATTTCTATCTTTGTGTTCAATTAATCGACAGCTTGACATATTGATAACTTTGATAGAATTTTAAGTACAAAATATGCTTACTCATAGCTTTGTGTTTCTTCTATTGGATGGATATTTTACTTTCTCCTTGTGATTGGTTAAAAATATCGATTTGAAAGAAACTCATAAAACTTTGATTCTTTAGGTTCAATATAAATATTCTATAAAAACGAACATATTCAAATACTTTTAATTAAGAATTTTAAATTAGACAAAATATTTTTTCTTGTTTTTAAATCAAAATCAAACTTTGATGTCGATGAGAATTTTGACGTTAAGTAATTTCATAGCATTTAATAATATAAAACTTTTGAAGTTTCAAGCATTCAAAGTTTTTAATAGAGAGTTAGGCGAATGTAAACAAAGCACATTACACTCTTTAGGAATTTGGCTATTTTTATTTATACCTTTTTTCAAATAGGTTAATGAATAAAGTACAATTATTTTTGAAAAAAAGAACATTTTTGATTTCTGCTTGTGATTGTGAAGTACATAGGTTTGAAATTTCAGAAAGACTTTTGATTAAGATTTTTAGTATTATTAAAATAAAAATGCTACAATTTGGTCCCATTTAGTTTCTTTTATTCAATCGTCTGATAACATGAATGGAATAGATTTACTGTTGAACAAATACATGTTGTATTTTATCGGACAGTTTAAGTCAGCTTTGAATCCAATTTAGGAAGAAATATGTTTTATTATTTGGCAGGTTTTTCTTAGACCTTAGACATTTCAAAGTATGAAATCTGTGAGGTCAAATAATCTAAGTTCTAATATGAAAGGTTTGCAACATCAGGTTGAGTCCTCTTTTAGCGTGTTCGAGTAGCAACTAAAAAGTCCTAACTTTAACCTTTAAATAATTAAAACAACTTATTTGGTAGAGGGATTAAATCATAGATAAATAAATAAACATAGATAGCTTATGTACGCAAAATCACCAGTCTGCGAACTGATACTTATAGGGGTCAAAGTGTACTTCAATGATAAGCGGGGTGGTTTGGTGTTTTAATGGATTCCATGATAGGGTGTAAAATAACTCCGGCAATGGAACTATTTGAACAACAATATTTCACTGAGCAATATATCATATTGACGAGAACTGAAGAAGGACATGAGAAGGACTAAACTAACTTAAATTTCTCTCTACAGAACTCATGTACACCACAAGTACTCAATGACATAAGAACAGCCAATGTTCACAACCGACCTAGGTAATCTATATAATAGGAATATCTTTAAAACATCTCTGTACATTTATATCTTTCAAGATGAAAAATGTCGTCTTATGCGCTATCTATCTTTATCTATGGATTAAATTAACTAGACATTCCTTTTTGCAGCGCTAGGTATATTTTGGTTGGTTAAAACACATATAAATAATTTTTTTCAAATAGCAAATCACGTTGTTTAGTAAAATTTTCTTTGTGTCACATTCTTTATTAAAGTTTTTTCGTCTTTCAGTAAAGTTGAAAACGTCATATTTTTTTTCAAGGCACAATTGATTCTAAGAATTTTCAATGTATTCTTAACTTCTACCTTCTCCTGCCAGCGTATTCTGTTAGCTGGAAGGGTCAGTTCCCAGGGACTACTTTCACTTTTCTTCTCAATTAATCTTGATATCAGTGCTCCAGTCAGTTCCATAGTTGGATTAACTACAACAATAAATTTTATTATTTTAAGGGACTGTAAACGTAATTTTAAGGGATTGTAAACGTAATTTTAAGGGACTGTAAACGTAATTTTAAGCGACTGTAAATGTAATTTTAAGGGACTGTAAACGTAATTTTAAGGGACTGTAAACGTAATTTTAAGGGACTGTAAACGTAATTTTAAGGGATTGTAAACGTAATTTTAAGGGATTGTAAACGTAATTTTAAGGGATTGTAAACGTAATTTTAAGGGACTGTAAACGTAATTTTAAGCGACTTTCCATTTCTAGAGTGGCATGTCCGATTCAAAAGAAGTGCCCGTTAAACCTTTATCTGATCAAGGATGACGGAGAATTTCTGTAGCTTCCTGGCTGGCTGTCAGGTTAAAATGGTAAATAGCACACCTTCAAATGTTATTTGGCCTTAACTTTGGCCTAAACTGATTATTAAATTTTTTTTATGATTTTTTAATTTGTATTTAGCATTAAGTTTCCAAAATAATGAGGTGCCTAATGTAAGTAAGAAAATGTGAGCCTCTGTGTAGTAATTTTTCCTATATTAAATCGTCCGATTAGTAATACTAGGTTTTTATGCTTTTAATTTAATTAATTTTTTTTAAAATGTTTATTTCGTTTTAGATTGCGAAAAGTTCTTAAATTAGTTTTAAAAATATTTACATAGAGATTTTTCTATGGAAAGGGTGCACAATCATGCACATTGCACAGTGTACACTCCTCCCCGCAATGATATCACATATGGCTTCTAGGCAACTTAATATTCAGCCAGAAAAATAAGAATACCTCCATCATCCTTATTAAAAAAAAATTACTGTCATAAATGGAAGGGCACTTAAAATTACATCTACAGTTCCTTAAGATAAAAGTAAGTTTACTATTAACCATCGTGACTATTTTAAGTGCAAACATAAAAACTTTAAAGATTTATGAGACAAAATCTATGTGCACAGTACAGTGTACACTACCAACAAGCCTATAAACAGTGGGTTATATACGTTTATTCCTTTATCAACGTTTGTAACTAAGTTTTACTCCGACCATGGTCATTGAACCCAAGTCCTCCGTATACTATAAAACTATCTGGTTGCCCATTAAATATCCTTCCCCCTGACATTATATAGATAGAAATATAAAATATATTATTCACTGACAAGCTTACCTATATAGTTGATAAATCCAATCTGAGCCATTGGAACAGAAGTGTTGTCTCTTAATTTATTCATATATTATATTAAATTATATTAAATTATATTATATTATATTATATTATATTATATTATATTATATTATATTATATAATATAATATCAGATAATAACTGGTTAGCTGTTTTTAAGTATCCGAACTCATCGGAAAGAGTTAATTCTTTCGATTGAATCTGGTTCTATGTGTGTAACCTAGATAAATAATTTATCTAGGGTGTGTAAGCATCAAAGAAGCTCAGAACAGTCAGGTTCTTATTCAACTCTCTCCAGTTACTTGTGGCTGGACAGAAACCTGTGTGGAATAACATGGCAGTACACCCTACTTGGAAAAAAGAAAATAATAGTGCAGAGAAGGAGGGGTCTCTCAATCTTTATCTTCCCCCTCCCTCTTACCAAAAACGAGGGAAATGGAAACATAGAAAGTAGAATGCTGATAGGTTGTGCACCATGCACTGTGATACCGGTTAATACTCTGCCGGGTGCAAGAAAAAGATAACTGTAAACGAGGCCGTATTCTGAACCACTGTCCGAGATGAACTTACAAGAAGCAAAAATTCTTTTGTAAAAAAACCCACAGCTTTCATAACCTTTCTTATCCCATTTGTCATTATTAAGGCAGAATTCTGACAATCGATTTTCTCAGAATTTTCAAACCCAGCTTAGCAGAGTCTTTTATTTTTCGAACCTGTAAGAAAAAATCTCCATTTCACATCTAACAGAAAATATCGAGGAATATGTGTTTGAAGTCCTGACCTTCAATCAGTGTTTAGTTAGACATTCCTGGATAAGCAATAAAACTGAAAATTACAAGTACACTGAAATCTACTTATTTACTACAATATAAGAGCGAATAAAAACAGGAATATGCGTCGAAATGCATTTTTCTCTTGTCTACAAGGGATTAGAATGCATAGATCTAAATGAGAGGAACAGAAAACAGATGTATGATCAGCTAAAAAGAAGAAACAACAGTCAGAGAAAAAAATTCACTGCTTTTTTTAATTAAAAAATAAATTTTATTTAAAAATAAATCATTAAAAAATAGTGTAATATAATATATTATAATATATATAGTTGTTGGACAGAAATGTTCATTTTATTGAGAAGGTTAAAAAAATATTTTAAAAATAAAAAAAAAGTAATTTTCTTTTTAAAAATTGACTTCAAACACTAAGTTGAACAAGGAAAATTTTTTCAATGAAGATTTTGTCACTTACGTATAAATTTTATGTTATTTATTGTAATAAGCAATTTTGCTTGGCGCTCTTCGCAAAAATGCAACTAGGGTTTCCAACGCAAGTGGATTTTACTTGCGCGCAATTGCGAGCCCATGCGCGCAATTAAATTTAATTGCGCGCAAAATAAACTGAACTTCACTGACATTTCAGTCTCAAATGCTAAGAAAATTGAACTTAAACTCAATCTTTTGTTTTATAATATTCATTGCAGCATGATAACCAGACAACTCTGGCATAGGAAGACGACAGTTTAGACTCAAGCAGAGCCATGTAACTGGATAAGGAATTTAATCAATTTTGTTTGACTTGTAACTACATCAAATACACTGTGATGTTGTCTTTCTGTACCAAAGTTTTTTATGATGAAACAAAGGAATTGAGTAATTACCACAAATTCTGATTTTGCAAACACAATTTCGTAGACCTTATATATTTCAAATTATTAATTCTGTTAAATCAAATAATTCCAGTTTGAAAAATCAAAGGTTTACACAACCAGGTTCCAAAGATATATGAATTAAATATATTAATTTTGTGGCAAAGACACAATTATTTTGTTTATCTTTACCAAATCTTTACACTTTTATTGTACAGACGTTGAAACAATTAAAAAAAGAACCAGACACTAAAGAATGCCGAGTCCATTCAGGGTTCAGCCATGTGTTTGGTGTCTTTTCTGAACCAATATAAATTGCATGGTGATTGGTGGTTACATTATCTTTCTATCTATCTCATTATCCAATAAGAGATAAATCGTTATATCGGCGCTATCAGTAAATAGAAATATTTACTTCTACTAGCTGAAACTAAAGTGCAGAGATAAAAAGAGAAATGTTATTGTTAAGTTTATCCAACATGCTTAGTTGTTGAAAATTAGCATACTGTATAAAAGTAAATTGTCCGTATGAGACATAAAAAACATTTCTAGATATTATTCTTTTTATTTTCATTTTCTAAGAACAATATTTTGTAAGATTCTTTCTCGGATAATATTTTGAAAAGACGAAAGAAACATTTCCGTAATAAAATTAAATTCTGACCTGTCGCAAAGTGGTGAGAAATCTAATCCTCTGCTACGTTCCATATCTCCTTGTTTAAAAAACTCCTCCATACATCTTGCAGTCCATTGGTAATGTAAATCCCACCTAAACATAAACATATTTACTGGTCACCTCGGTCACCTATCCTTTACTTAACTCCATTACACACCAGCTTAACTTTAAGATAAATTGGTGATGTTAATACAACCTGAACATCTACATATACTGGTCAATGGTCACCCATCCTTTACTTTACTCCTGTTTACGTAAGCTTGACTTTACGGCCCATGAATACTTGAAGATTCTACCTTTAAAAACCTGTTATCCTGTACATATTAATAGCACAAAAAACTTACTTTTTAGCAGGATGGGATATATCACAAGAATGAAGAATTAATCCTAAAGCTGCGCTTCTCTGGAAACTAAAAACGAAAATTGTGAAAGATATGTAGGGGTTAAATGTGAGTGTAATAAGAGAAGGTGTCTTTATAGAACTGATAAATATTCTATTTTTTAATCCTAATTTTCTTTGCAACCTGATTTTGTAAGCCTTTTCAAGCTATGCATTCTGATCGGTACAAAAAAGGGAGAGGGTTTGCCGGTGCAAGAAGAGGTAATTTTGGACAAGAAAGAGAACGCATAAAAGTTGACCGTTACGAACAACTAAATGCGGGCCGGTACAAGATCAAAGGCAATAAAAGTTTGACGGTAAGAAAAGCCAAGAGGTGGCCTGATACAAGAACGGCTAAAGTTGGGCCGTTATGTTACCTTGTTTTATCCTTAGAAGACAGTAAATAGTTCTGTATGTTCTTTAGTTGGGAGAAGTGAAGAGACATGTCTTAAAACATTTTAAAATAAAACTAGAAAATTAGAATTCATTTCACTGAACGCTCAGAATATAAAATATGTTTGAAGAAATGTAATGTTTCTATTATATAAAGATTGTTACTTGATAAAAACCTTTTAAAAAACTGCATGGAATACAAAGATTTTAAGAAATAGACTTTTTTTAATTAAGTGTTTAAGTATCTAATCAAATATATAAAAATAAAAAAATGTATTAAGGGACCTGTATGTAAAACCATTTCAATCATTAGAGTTCTGAAATTCTTATATTCTGATTTGGACATGTTTATCAAAATATTGCATTCATTCTCTTTCATTGTCCTAAACAGAAAAAAAATGTTTCAATATATATTTCTTTATATTAAGCCATTTTACCTGAAAAATTCTGCCACATGATGGTTCTCTAATACAGCTCTATCATTGTATAATATTGCCAGACTTGAACCTGACTGAATATGGAAATTATTTGTAGTTCCTGAATGATCGTAATCATGAACAATGGCGGAGAATAGAAGAGCAAATATTTCTAGATCTGAGAGCCAGTTCTTTAAACCGGTTTGGGAGATAAACCAATGTGTTGTCTGCAGTACATCACTAGCATGGAGGTTGTTATGGTAAGGATTAGAGTTCTTGTTGTATCCTATCTCAAGGTGGGAGAGAAGACACGTCATTACAGATGGAGCAATCTTAAACTTCTGCATACAACCATGTTTATCAAGTATATGGTAACCTAGAAAGAAAAACGTATCTACAGTGATAACCAGAAATCAATGTAATTGAACGACGACATTATAGCAATACTTAAGTTTATTTAAAGTTGTTACAAAGAAAATAGTTTCAATGGCAACTTATTATATCACTAATTTAGTGAAATGTGTCTGTTTACATCATAGTGTTTGGTCCGATAGGTATGTAAATAAGTCTTGCGTTACATAAAATATTCTTTTATATGTGAAGGAATTCAGTCTTTGCCACAAACTCAGATTTTGTAACTCCTTTATCTTTGAAATCTGATGGTGTAACCTTTGATATTTCAAAATTGAATTATAGTTTAAAATATCTTATAGGTCTACAGCCACTATAGTTTTAGTAGATGTAAATATTTCCAATTACTGTTAGCGCCGATTGAAAGATTCATAACTCTAATTGGATAATGAGATAGATAGAAGGATGGCTTTTACCGCCATACTATTTATATTGGTTCAAATAGAAAACAAACACATTACTAAACCCTGATTGGATCAGGCGCTAATGGACTCGGCATATACAGGAGTGCATCATTGGGTTGCAATGATATAGGAATTATAAAATTAGAGTTTGTGGAAAAAGTCAATTCCCAATTATAAAGCTCAAAGAACCCTTGATAAGTATTTTCGTTCATGGATATTGGATTTATTTACCAAGATAAAGAAGAGGGCTTCCGTTGGCTGTTTTTGCATAATCGAATACTGAAAAATCCCATAGATCCACACCCTATAAACAAACATACAAGATTAGATCCACACCCTATAAACAAACATACAACATTAGATCCACACCCTATAAACAGACATACAAGATTAGATCCACACCCTATAAACAAACATACAAGATGTTTCTCTACAAATAATATTTTTGATTCGCTCGAATTTCAGTGATTAAGACAAAATATACGTGTAAGCAATATGTTTTAAATTAAAGGACATTTACATTTTATGCACAATCACCGTCCTAATAAGTTGTTGATTTGGTTCAACTCCAACTCAAGAAAGGACAATTTCAAATAGTAGATTTATCAGTTTTTAGCTTTCAATGTATACTTACTTACTTTTTCTTTTTACATTCTGTAATGTTGAAGGTATTTATTTTATTTTTTCTTCAATTAAAACGTCCACTTTTATAAAAAAAAATTGGTGTTAAAAATGCCAACCTATATTAATTTCTGCAGAGCTAAGGTGTAGGCCTAAAAAAGTAGCAATATTTGAAGGAACTTGATTTAATTTAAAGAAACTCTACAGGCGCCAGATTTCGAACGGAACCGTTTGAACCCTAGGCTGAGTAAAAAAGATTAAGTATTTTCTCTGAAAATTAATTATCAATTGTGGTTTATCTTTTCCATTGACTTGCAGATTTATACAGAAGTAACAAAAAAGGAAGTTGACTGAATTCAACGCATTGTAAGATAGAAAAAGATGATATCTTCCTCGTTTAAAAGGTTTAAAGGATACTGCTGTGAATCGAGAATGACACGTTAATATAATTTTATCTCACCTTTAGCATTACTTCGACCTCAACGGGAATAGGCATGGCTTGTGATGTAGATATTTTTCTAAAATTGATTTTTTTTTAATTATTAAATTGTTTAATTTCTCATGATGAATTTTAAAATCATTATTAAGTTTATAAATTTTGAAATTGATTTGTTTCCTCTAATGATTTTAATATATTGATTTTAAAACTTATTATTCATTATTTTTATATTTTGATAATTGATTACATATTTTACCTGTAAATTTGTTCTATGAATATTCCAGTACGGATTAACTTTACTATAGAGATAAAACTTGGTCTCTCCTGAACCCGGCCTTCCTTCGGTAAAATAGAAGAAAAATGTAGAGGCCAGGAGGTGGTTGAAATATTAATTCAGAGGGTTTCTTTTTATAAAAAATTCTTAGAAAAGGTTCCCACCTACCATTTCTTCTCTAATTTATGTAAATCTACGAATAGTAAGCTAAACATTTTCTAAATCATAAACAAACACATACGGAAGAAGTTTGGATTGACCAAGGATGGATCCTGTATTAAAAGATGGACATCAAATAAGAACCTTTGTAGAGTTAAGAAGGTTGATATATGTCTATGTGTCTACTGACCACCTAGCTGCAGGCAGCTGCAATTTTCAACGCCGGGTCGCACTCGCAGATGTCCAAAAACAACTACTAAATTATTTCAAAATCTGATTTTTTTGCATGGAATAGTTTCATTATAACCAATATAAGGTAATTATGAATTCACAAGATTTGATTGCCAATATTGAGAGCTCTTTAATTTAAAGTGTTAGTGGGAAACTTTTATATGTACACCCTTTAACTCAAAAAGCAAAGAAATTAAGTCTTTGCTAGAAACTCTTATTTTCTTATCCTTATATCTTTGTAACTCAATATCAAAGACCTTAGATGTTTCAAACTGGAAATTCTATTAAATAAAAAAATCTAAGTTTAAAATATTTACACCATAAGGGATGAGAAGATTTGAGTTTGTGGCTAAGACCTGATTTTTTTCATCATAATTCTATTATAAAATTTCAATTACGTTATTTTCTTGTGAAAATGTTGCTGCCAACCATTTTCTGATTTCATCTGGAGCAGCGTCCTGAAGATCTTCTAGTCCATCACTGAAATTTTAAACCACGCGATTTAAAAATTGACCTTTTTTTCAAGGGGATGACCCAACAGCAGGTTTCGTATATACATTTTTCCATAATCATGTTTTTAATGCATGTTTCCAATAGTATGTTTCCAAATGCATATTCTCCAGAGAATGGCCCCAATGGTAATGAAAGTATAATGGTATTTTTCCAAGATCATGGTTATACCAAATCCATGTTCTCAACCATATGTTTACAAATACATACATATTCCCAAAAACATGTTTCCAAATACATACATATTCCTAAAAAAATGTTTCCAAATACATACATATTCCTAAACACATATTCCCAAATACATACATATTCCCAAAAACATGTTTCCAAATACATACATATTCCTAAGAACATATTCCCAAATACATACATATTTCCCAAAAACATGTTTCCAAATACATACATATTCCTCAAAAAATGTTCCCAAATACATACATATTCCTCAAAACATATTCCCAAATACATACACATTCCCAAAAACATATTCCCAAATTGCAACTTCTCTAAGTATATTTTCCATTCCATTGTTGAAACATTCAACCTACAGAAAAATGCGATTGTTTAAAATATACATTATTTATGACACTTAAAAAGTTTTAACCTGGGTGATGTTGGAGGCGTCTCTTTTTTTCTAAAATAATATAACTTTTATGAATCCCCGTTCATTTTTCTTTGTGAAATCTTATATTTGGAAGGTTGTATTTTTATACGCCAATTTCTTTAAATCCAAATGACCGTAATGTTTTCATAACAAACATACAATCATGCTCAATTGGATCTGATCTATCCATCCTTCTATCCTTCTATCCTTCTATCCTTCTATCCTACTATCCTTCTATCCTTCTATCCTTCTATCCTTCTATCCTTCTATCCTTCTATCATTCCATCCTTCTATCCATCTATCCGTCTATCCTTCTATCCTTCTATCCTTCTATCCGTCTATCCGTCTATCCTTCTATCCGTCTATCCTTCTATCCTTCTATCCTTCTATCCTTCTATCCTTCTATCCTTCTATCTTTCTATCCTTCTATCCTTCTATCCTTCTATCCTTCTATCCTTCTATCCTTCTATCCGTCTATCCTTCTATCCTTCTATCCTTCTATCCGTCTATCCACCTATCCTTCTATCCTTCTATCCTTCTATCCTTCTAACCGTCTACCCTTCTATCCTTCTTTCCTTCTATCCTCCTATCCTTCTATCCGTCTATCCTTCTATCCTTCAATCCTTCTATCCTTCTATCATTCTATCTGTCTATCCTTCTATCCTTCTATCCTTCTATCCTTCTGTCCTTCTATCCTTCTATCCGTCTATCCTTATCCTTCTATCCTTCTATCCTTCTAACCGTCTATCCTTCTATCCTTCTAACCGTCTATCCTTCTATCCTTCTATCCATCTATCCTTCTAACCGTCTATCCTTTTATCCTTCTATCCTTCTAACCTTCTATCCTTCTATCCTTCTATCCTTCTATCCTTCTATCCTTCTATCCTTCTATCCGTCTATCCTTCTATCCTTCTATCCTTCTATCCTTCTATCCTTCTATCCTTCTAACCGTCTACCCTTCTATCCTTCTTTCCTTCTATCCTTCTATCCTTCTATCCGTCTATCCTTATCCTTCTGTCCTTCTATCCTTCTAACCGTCTATCCTTCTATCCTTCTATCCTTCTAACCGTTTATCCTTCTATCCTTCTATCCATCTATCCTTCTAACCGTCTATCCTTTTATCCTTCTATCCTTCTAACCGTCTATCCTTCTATCCTTATGGTCTCCCATTATCCTTTTTCTGATCAGAATACCAAGCTACAGGGTGTCCTTTTAAATTGCTATTTGAGCAAACTCACAGAGGGTCCAAGAAAAAACGACACTCACAAGGTTTAAGCTTTGTAAGTAATTCGATTTGGAAGATTTTTTTACCGTGCAAAATTTTCAAATAAAGACGAGTTCCATCAGAAATGTGTGAATAAAGTCTCAGCATGAAGATTGAAAAGTGTGATATTTAAAATCACCCTGTATACTTACTCAATATTCTCAGCTAATATTTCCAGAGCCTAGGACCAGAATATACTCAAACTATTCTTCAGAAAGAGTAATCATAAAATTTCTTTCTTGTAAAATTGCATTTTTATTCTTTGATCTTTGCTTTCTTTTGATGTTTATAAGAATTCTATAAGCTAATAATTTAAAGAATTTGTAAAAACCTTCAGAAACATGGAATATATAATATAGGTCGAATCATGTTGGCTGGTTTTAACAAATATACATACAAATGTTCGTGTTATTAGAATATCAATTTTTTCTTATGCGAAACAATTACTTAAAATCTATGCAAAAGCTTTATGCTTTTCTGAACCAATACTGTTTTCACATAACTATTATTTTTTCCTGTTTTATTTTTTATAAACTCGTAGTTTTCTTATTTGAGTTTATTCTATTCCTGCTTGATGTACAGTAGATGAGATAGAAGAATATCAGGTTCAATTCCTTCATTGTTTAATCCAGTAATCAGGGTCTCCAATCTATTAATCAACATAGATCAAATTTAATCTCTTTATCAATTAATCCGGATTCAGGTTTCCAATCTAATAATTGAATGATATTATATTTGATCTTTTCAGTAAAATATAGTAATCAGGGTTTCCAATCTATACAATTCAATTATATCAGATTCAATTCCTTTCATCGTTTAAACCAGTAATCAGGTAAGCCTAGCTTAACACGTACTTTTTGGTTAAGGCATAAATGCAGAAGGAATGTTGACACATTCCTTTTGTCTAGTTGAGTGCGTTCCTGAGTGCGTTTAATTTTTTTCAGATTTAAAATTGATAAATGGGTTCGTGAACGGGTTTTTGGTCGGGTTCGTCATGGATATGGTGTCGGAGAACAAGGTTTCCTTCTCCGTTCTCCGTTCTGGGAGAAGTGTGTAATACTGATGGGTTGGGAATAAGAGCTGAACTGAGAGTTGAGCTGAACGTGAGATTATTAACTCCATATCCAAGAGATGAGCTGATAGCAAGGGTGGGTTGAGAGTGCGGAGATAAGCTCCAGGTTGGAGGGTTGAGTGGAGATGGGTAGGAATGACTCCAAGTCCATCTGTTTAGTGTTTTCGGATCCCAAGCTCAGGGTTAACTTGTCACCCCCCACTTGTCTCTGCATCTATGGCCTAACGTATTTAAATATTTGTGACTTTTATCCTCAAAAAGCCAAAACATTTTGGAAAATATTCACTAAACTTTTGATTATTTTTTGACGGTTTTGTACGTGGTAAGACAAACCTAGTTATATTCCTAATGGGAGTATTATAAGTATTTTGAAATAGGTGAACAAATCAGAAAGGTTTCAATAATTACTTGATAATAAAAAATATTTTGTTTTAATCCACAGTTAAGGACTTCATAAAAAACTTTAGAAACATTTTGCGATAATGTGATTTGATGATTGTACCTCGAATTTGCACCAGCCAGAGCATCTTTAGGTTCGGTAGGAAATATCTCCTCAGTCGCAATTTTGTCCTGGGCAGTGTACTTTATAATTTTTCTTGGACATAAATATTGCATATTCATAGTAGTTAATGCATGAAAATTATTATTGAAGGTAACAGATTTATACATATTTTACAACGTTTTTACAAGATGACAAAGAATGATATCGCACGAAAGTAAAAAATTCTAGTGAATAAAAATAAATATTTACATGTTTTGATGGAAATCGAGAAAAACAAGAACATAGAAAAAATATATTTTTGAACCTTTTTATAAGATCAAGTGGGGTTAAGTTGCACGAAAGCAAAAAATATGAATGTCAAGAATTGAAGCTTTTCGGATTCTAATATATGTATCATTTACGCATAAATTATTGATATTTTAATTTATATTTTCCATTACATAATATTTTGCAGCATAATGGTAAAGTTTTATGGATTGTGAATAAATGACGATAGATAAATAATATTGTCATGGATAAGCAGAAACCAAAGTTTCTACATAAAAGCAAATATTATAGATTTATAAAGAACAGAGAACTGTCGGAAGAAACCCAAATATTATTTTGTGCGTAAAATCAAACTAGAAAAAAGCGTTTTGAGCTACAAAGTCTTGAATTTAGATAAACCCGCTGTTTTTATGGAAAACAAATAACTGAACAACTTTTTATTGTGCGGTCAAGTAATAATGTGTAAATCTTCAGTTTCTTTTGGTTTTATATATCTTAAAGGTTGATCTTACCAACGCAGAGACCATTTTAATCCTATCTAAACATATTCAGTTTTAAAAATTAAGAAAAATAAAAACAAAAATAAACTGTATCTTTTGTTAGGAATTGAGTCTTTGTCACAGAATATATCTTTGCAAACCAATGTCACAGAACTTTGTTATTTCAAATTATGAAATCAGTAAGATCAAATTATCTAAGTTTGCAGATCAAAGGTTGCATAGATATAGGGATTAGAAAATTTGGGTTTGTGGCAATGATTTAATTCCCTTGATGGGGGATGATCTTTTTCCTAACATGATATTCCCACGCTTTTTAATTTCTTGAATCACACTGTCCCGGGCACTGGTTTATTTTTTTTACCCCTGGTTCTCTGGAATTTAAAAAAATACTTTTTCGTTTTTGAAATTCTAAAACTTTTTGAGTTCAACGTTTTACTTTTAATTTGACTGAATGCCATTATTTTTATTTAAGCTAGGCTAAATTTTAAATAACTATATGTAATGAGTAAGAAGAGGAAATAAATGTGTATAAAGATGATGTTGACTGTGCCAAGGATTTTATAAAACTACATGAAATTATGTAATCATTTCGTTACGTGACATTGTACTTACTTTTATCAGCCATCAATCTACTTTAATACCCATCTCCCACGCATAAATCTATCTATCTATTTATCTATCTGTGTCATCTTTGGTCTTTCATGTACTTTTATCTTCTCGTCGTCCTTTCTATTTTTTTAAAAATTTAAATCATTCTTGTCTAACTATCCTACCAATACTATTCAACGTTAAACTTCACTGATATATCGGGATTAAATAAGATGTGACGTTGCATTAAATCATTCATTAAGATTGAGTAGAGACGTCATCAATTATCGATTTATCAATCACGCTGTAAGTCAAGCAAAGAGAGAGCATATTCTAGTGGATGCAGCAGCAAAAAAAACTTCAGATTTTTTCTTCTTTTCATGCAATTTCAATCATAAAAGTAAAGAAATTGTCTATTTTTTAAAAAAGTATCTGTTCGTTTATTTGATATTTCGTTCGTTTTTATCAACGGTTCTTTCCGTTAGTTTTTAACATATAACTTAACGATTCTTTTTGTTCGTTAAAGGAATATGTCTTTTACTATAAGGTCAGAATTTATGAATAAAATAGATAGATAGTTCACCTTTTCGCAGCTGGTTCTACTACGAAGAGTAGAGGCGTTTCTAATAATGTGTTGGGGTTGTTTAAGTAAAAAAGGCGGGAAAGTTGACACTTTCAGTCCCTTAAAACATTGTCAAAATGAAATGTTTTAAAATTTGTTTAAACAACTTGATAATTTTATATGTTCTGTGGGTTGGTAAGTTATTTACACATGCAAGATCTTGGCGATATGTCATGATATTTTCAAATATCTAGTACGTACATCACATCAATTATTCTTGTTTTTTTTTTTAAAGAGGCTGCAGTCCTAATTTTAAAGGGACCGTTCCCTTATTTGGGTAATTTCGGGATAAACTAAATAGCTTATTAGCTATTGATTAGTATTGGTCTTACTTTTCAACGACAACTGCGGCCGGAGAAAAAGCCGATTTTTCATTAAGAATTCGAGCGCAAAGGGACGGCCCCTTTGTCTATGCACTATTTGATGTTTTTTTTGTCGATGTCATGGATTAAAGAGATATTTCGAATATAAAATTAAACTGTAGTATCTAATAGTTAATTGTAAATGTCAAAATTAAAAAAAATGTTAGCTTTCTATTTCTAACATAACATTTTAGCGCAATTGTACATTTTGTATTGCTTCTCAGTAAAATGCTGAAAAGAACGCGGCATGAAAAATGAAAGGTTGCACGAATACGGGAACAGGATTATAAATTATACTATGGTAGTTGATAATAAATTAGACAATTGATTGAGGAGTGTCATCATCCGAGGGGGGGGGGCGGAACTAGGATTTTCGATCTTTACGATCATTAACAGATATCGGTTGGAGAACTGACAGAAGCTATGTATGTGTGGAGAGAACCGAAACCTATTTGGGAAACTAATCAACGGCGGGGATTATCTGAACAAAATTCCCGCCGATTCGATGTCAAATAACCTGATTTTTCTGAAGAACACCCTTTCCTCATCTAGGTTCCTGGTAGACACTGGAGCGTCTGTATCTGTTTTCCCTAATCAACCTCGTTCTCCATCGTCCCCTGGAGTAGGAGTACAGCTCAGGACAGCCGACAGTTCCCCATGGATACCTATGGAACCCACCGTAATGCTTTCCAGTTCTGTTCTTGACAGTTTGGTTGGAGTTTTTTGTTGGCAGATGTCTCTATGCCTATACCTGGGCTCCGATTTTCTCCAACATTTCCACCTCAGTTAATGTATTTCGTCTTTCCACTTTATATAAACTATCTTTGTATCTTAAGAAATCAATATATATACAGCTCGTTTTCTGCTTCTATCAAAAATAGAGTCGCTACAAAACTTTATTGTTAATACTTTTTAAAAAAAGATGTAAAAACTTCGGTAGAGCTTGATTTAGTCTTAAATAAACCCCTGGCTGTGTAACTTTTTTGTTATATTCTGCTAAGAAAAATCCACAAAATTGAGTTATTATTTTACCGCCAAAAAATCATAAATGAAATTTTCCAACATGGTTTTATTTTATGTGTAAACAAGCACCAAGGAAGAATTTATGTGTAATCAACCCATTTAATCTAGAAAAGTGAAAGCGACGATTCCTCTTGTGTTTTTGGAAACTTGCTGCGCCCTGATATTCTCTATCAATAAATTAGTGTATCTCACAAAACACACAATTAAGGAGAACCAATATTTACAAATACATATATATACGTATACAAATATACACTTTGACACATACTTACAAAACTCAACAAATAAACTAAAACTAAAAGTTACTTAACAAGGGAATTGAGTCTGAAACTCTAAATTTTAAACTATGAATTTTGAACTATGAATAGCAAAGGTGTAAACCAACATGTTGCAGAAATTTTAGTTAGAGACAAAGACTCAAGACTCATAGAAAGTAAATAAATTGTTATATTTGAAAAAATTTAACAGAAACATTAAAAAAGTATACTAAAAGCCAAAAAATTAACATTAACTATTTGTCATGGTAGATATGAAACTCCTTAGTTTTCAGTTTGTTTGAGGAGTTTAATCTGCGTGCACTTGTAATTGTATATCATCAAGTTGCGATATGCTGCACAGCATTGTTGTCCAAATTCCAGATTCGTTTTATTATCTATAAAATATACATATAGTTAATATTTCATAATATTTTTGATTTTATTTTTTTTACATAATTTTCGCTGGCGCTGGATTTTCGAACATTCCTTGAAAATATGATCAAAAATCCTCGAAACAGGAATAAATGTTTTCAAAAGTAACTTTCAGATCATGAAAAATCAAAAATGCTTTTTTGTAATATCTGAATGATTTGTTTCGAATTAAATTGATTTGTTTACGATCCGAGTTGAATGTTGCATCTTTCTGAATTTGTATGGACACTTTACGTTCTTCGGTGTTAGTCATTTTTAACAATTTTCTCCTTATAGACGCAACAGATCAAAAGCGCTTTTTTATCGCATTAAGCCTATACTCCCTTTCATTTTTCATGAACATTCTCCCTTTAAGAAGAACTGCATGATGATACCCTACTCCTTTCATTGTCTGCAATACGTGTACGTTTGTAACATTCAATTCGATCACATCTCTTGGCAATAGTGTTTCTGTCACCTGTTAACACTGCTGGTTAAAACTAATAGATGTTGTTCAGTATCCAGTGTACTTTATTATAACATTTGGTTAGGAAAGGGTTAATTATCTAAACGGCTTTAGAGTCGGAAACTTTTCAAATTGCAAACACTTTTTGATTCCCTTTTTTCGTAAATCTACTACTACAGTACACACCTTTTTTATGAATTGTAACAATAAAGTAACAGAATTTCTGACTGTCCAAATGCTATAACTTTTATTGTTTAAGCTTAATAAGATAATTGCTCTCTTACCAAATCAAAATTTCCATGTTTAATCTCCCAATTATGGTCTAATATCTACATGGCAGTGAAAATATGCTTTTAAAAAATCTTTCTGGCACTAAAGTTTCAGTCTCTGGTTTCCACGGTTAGATAAACAATGTACTGATCTGAAACAACCTTTGACAGATTCTCATTTCTCTGAAATCTTCATATTTACCTTCTCATCTTCTATATCCACTTTTACTTATATCCACCTCCTCCTTTACTTCTTCTATATCCACTTTTACCTATGTCTATCTTTACTTCTATATCCTCCTTTACTTCTTCCATCTCCGCTTCTACCTCTGCTATATCTATTCATTAGATCTTTTATGTCCATGATCTACCTTTTCCTCATCTATATCTTCCTTTACTTAACTTCCATACTACTTTTACCTCTTCCATACCACTTTTACCTCTTCTATATCCACTTTTACCTCTTCTATATCCACTTTTATCTCTTCTATATCCACTTGTATCTCTTCTATATACTCCTTTACCTCTTCCATATAATCTTTTTCCTCTTCTATATCCTCCTGTACCTCTTCAAAATACTGCTTAATTAAGTATTATCCTCATCACTCCCGGCCTCTCCTCTTTTTTTTCTCTTCTACTGCATATTTTACATTTCACCCGGCCGTTATTATCAATCTATCGTCATTTTCTCTATCCCCCCCCCTCTCGGCCCTCTACCCTTACCTAACACCGTATACTGAAATGTTTAGTTGGCAGGTTTAACATGTTTAATTTAGGATTTAATCGAATCATGTTCTCTGTCTTCTCTAGTCTCAGACACCTGAACCTACATATATTAAAGGATTGCTATCAGAGACCAATTTGCAAACCAACGTGCCTATTAAGTGAGGGAGGGAGTGCAACACGATTTTATCGGCTACCGAAAATTAAATTATATTTTAAGATATATAAGAAAGTAATTGAAATTATACTCATTCCACACAGATTAAAATATATGGTATAAAATCATGAATTTATATTATTTTAAAGTTTCATT